TTTTCTACACTTTGATATTTTTGAAAAAAAATAAACTCGCTTTTTTGTCCATATTTCTTCAAATATAGAACTTATAGAACTCCGAGTACTAACGAAAAACAAGACGATGCGCGTAATGTCCAAAAATCTTGAAACGCCTCATAGACCTTATTAAAACCTCATTTTGTAGGTCACAACATATTCAAATATCACGTTTTTGACTCGATAGTAAAATAACAAAATTAAACTTACCCTTTAAATGTGGGTATACTACAAAACCTCGTTATTTTAGCATTTTTCTAAATATATTATTAGTATCACACTATCCCAATAAGCACAACTAGATACGGTATTAGGGAAAAGGATGGGCCAAGAAAATGCTAGAAATTATTTTTCATTTTCTGGAATGACTTTACACTTTACAACCCGTTTTCTGTAAAATTGTATAGAATTGATGACGATTAGATAGCGACCTATTTCAAAACTGAGTAAAATTCAATATTTTCGTTTAATGCTGTTTGCTCTATCCATAAAATGGGAGTGTTCCAATAGTTTTTGAAATAAATGTTGATAACTCTAAAAAGGCTTAGCGTGTTCTAAGAGAGGCTATTACCTTGGAAAAAAAAACACCCGTTCACACACACAGTGTTCGAAGTGTTTTCGGAGCGCGAGCATTGAAGATGCCAAGTGAGATTTTGGCGAAACGTCTGCAGGATTCCAGTCGGAGTTCAACAAGCGAACGGATGATATCCCGGAATATAGTGTCAGCATATATATATATATATATATATATATATATATATATATATATATATATATATATATATATATATATATATATATATATATATATATATATATATATATATATATATATATATATATATATATATATATATATATATATATATATATATATATATATATATATATATATATAATCTTTGGGAGAGATTCCACAATACCCGTTGTCAAACCAATCAAGTAAACAAGTCTCTTCTTCAAATGTTTCTAGAAATTTCTGCCATCATGTCCCCTTCAAAGCTGAGTACTCTTTGGACTATAAGCGATGCAATCACACAACACAGGAAAAATCCAGAAGAAGTAAATGTATATTTATGAAAATGCAATAACAAAACTAAATAAGTAACTTATCAAGTCAGTTTATTTTTGTCTAAATTTTTCCAACTTACAATTGACACACCTAAATTTAGGACATGCAGATTTTGCCTGGAAGACGTTCTATAAAGTGTCTTGAGTTTTTCGTGTCATAAACTTAAGGGATGTGATGATCAGGTTGATACAGCTCGGCATCTCATATATCCAGTAACCGTCTATTTCTGGTAGCACTCGTTTTATTTTGAGTTGCTTCTCCTCTACTGGGATAAAAGTTGCAGGCCTTTATTTACTTTTGACCAACGCTGATGTCTGCCTTTGCTCAAAGTAAGGATATCTCTTTTATACTCCTGAACCACTAGTCCTGAGTAACTTTTTTAAAATCTACTGTTTTTCCTGTTTTCAGTTTTTTTTTAGTAATTTTTTTCGAATTTTGTTCTCGGCTATATCATAATATCCAGCCAGATGGGAGGAAATTGTACGACCACAGTGACAAATTTTCTGGTCGGTCTGGTCTGGTCCAGAATCTCTGGATGCAGTAAAAGAAACATCGAAATGCAACTTGCCCTCCCTACTTTTTTTAGTGCTCAAAATTAATATCCTATAGTGTCAAGTCACTCTGAGAATACATATTCAATACATATAAATAATTTACCCATTTACGAAACAATTTTTGTAAATTTAGGTATCCAGCGACCTCATGGTAAAAAGAAGAAATTCATGATTGGTTGCTGGAGAAAAACATTTTCACACATACAGAACTGAGTCTGGTAAATTATATATATATATATATATATATATATATATATATATATATATATATATATATATATATATATATATATATATATATATATATATATATATATATATATATATATATATATATATATATATATAATGTTTTGGTTAGCAAGCAAAGCGATATGTGGCAATACTTTGATTTCATGTTCGTTAAAAAATTCACCAATGTACATGAAAATTTGATAAATTAAAAATGTTGAGATAAAATTTGGAGCAGAGCTGCGAAATTTACTCGAGACCTGGCGACGCTGAGCTATAAGACTCCACAATGTATTCTTAGTGACTTGGACTATATTCTTCTATTTACCTGTTTTATAGAGAGCTGCAGAAATAAAACCAATGCTTTAAAATCCTTGCTAATAATCCTCTTCTTCGTCGTTTAAATGTCACCGCAAGACGAGGAAACTTGATGAACCTTGAAGCTTTTACTACTAAATTTACGGCCTTAGCTCGTAAACAGAAGTGTTAATTAAGCGCAATGTCTGTATTTAGATACATCATCTACAAAACCAGTTGCGATTTTCACTTTCGATTGAAATTTCGCGGTATATTTCAATTTTTGGGCTGCTAAACGCGCCTTTCGTAAATATACCATCAAAATATTCGGCCGTTCGAGATCAATGCGAGCGTAGGTCTACGTACGTACGTAGACCTGACCTTAGCGATCTGCTTTTGCAAACTAGGCCATCGCGTGGGCACCGATGCAAATCCGCCGGCAAAATATAAATAATTAGACGATGATATACTATGTAAGAACGCGAATACATCGAGTATGGGTGTATGTATTTGTGTTTAAGTAACTGATGGCTTGGCAGTCTTTTGTAACAACTGTCACATATCACCCTTAGACATAGTCCAGAAAAAAACAAAATGGTACTTTTAAATTTTAATTTAAAGACTTGACAAGAATTGTAGTTACACATTTTCTGGATTTCTTCAACGTCGGGTGTTGAAACTCTGTCTCGCTGACGTTTCGCCAAACATGTTGTTAGGCTTCTCCAGAACTTAATTGATACTGACTCCCATTCGATTCTGTACCTGCTTATATACTGTTTGAGGGTGACGGAGCTAAAGGAGGGATATGAACTAATTTCGGATGACTGATTGCCATATTGGTGAAAGGTAAAGACCTGAGTCGCGGTTAAGTTTGTTTAGTTGCTTATGCATAGAAGCTACATTATATGAAATATATTAAAATCCGAGAATCTGGAATCAAACCTCATCTTAATTAGAAATGCTTGTCTGGAATATATTTTTCTTGTAACGGTCAAATTTGTAAACAAACGTTAAGAGAAGCTATAGATATTTATGGAAGCCATCGATACCTTCCGTTATTTAGCCTCATGATCAAGAATCTCTTCGAGATTTCCTTAGCCATATACTATACACCCTACATACCATTTACCAATCTGAGATATTTTTATATTCTTATTAGCGGAAAATCAGATCTGACACTGGGGCATTCTGTTTACAAAAAACCTACGCACCGTCTCCAAAGTTATGAACTCTCTTGCCGTAAAAGTATCTCAACCCAAACCACTGAACCCAGAATTTAAAAAACATCACTGACCACATATCAAAAGTTCTTAAGAAGTTTTACCACAAAATCTCTCAAAATCTTTGATCCGTCGAAGACAAAATTCCGTTTGAGATACCAGGAGTTTACAGCATTTTATGCATATGCGACAAAAATACATTGGAGAAACAGAATCAGAAAAAGAACATGGAAGTGCCTTAACACAATCATGAAATCGGACATCAAATCTTATTTGATAAACCTAAAGTTCTTTCATGTAATCAATTCTTCTACCACAGATAAATCCGAAAATCCATAGAAATCTACAAGCAACCAAACATTCATAACCGCAACTTAGGTCTTTGTTTTTCACCAATATGGCAATCAGCATATCAGCAGTTACATAGTAGAATACGATCCAATCTCAATTAAGCTCTGAAGAAGTCAACAGGATTGGCGAAACGTAAGCAAATTTGATTTATCAACCTTTTGGTATCTCGATAACGGAAATTGTTTGAAAGAAAAACTGAGGTGAGATGTGTTGATCCCAGATTAAGAGGTTCGGGCTGAGATATTTCTCTGAAATGAATCAATGACCAATTAAATAAATGTCCTTTATAGAAGAAAATCAACAGGCAAGACATATTACCTTAAAAATAAGAAGTCATTTTTATCTGTATACGGTTTTTTTTTGTTTATTCAGCATTTTATAAAAATGTTTAATATAAAAAGTAAGAAAGTAAAACCCAAAGTCATGATGTCAAGTGTCGAAATAGTATAATAATTTATCTTGAAAGTAAAGTAATGTATTGAGGTCTTCATCAAAATTTCTTAATTGTCCTGGTCTTCTATGTGACACTGTTTCGGTCCTCGAATTGTTTAATTACATTTTTAATTGTATTTATTGAAGGAACTCTTCTACCCGGATATATTTGTCGATATTCTCTTTTAACATTATGCTTGCAACATTATGTCCGTTTGAATAATATAATTTTATTATTTGGCGTTTTTCTTCCTCAGTATAACCCATTTGAAATATCTTAAGTTACTTAACTTACGCTGCAGACCTTTAGTTTTAATTAGTTGTCAAAAGTAGAACATCGTTAAAACAATTGCAAACATAGATAAGATGGTTGCTATCACGGCAGACTTGACCATTTTTAAACAATATGGCATGTTCCAGAAATCGAACGATAATTATTTTTAATTTGAAATATCTCAAAAACGGCTAACTGAAATGTCAATAAACTATATGTTTTTGAAATCAGGAAGACTAATAATATATAGGGCATGTCATAAAAAAAATATTTGGTGCTGTTAATAGAGCAAAAATCTTGAAACTTTATTATTCACACTTCTTTTCCTATCTTTCAAAATTAACCCTGTAGGTGGGTGTCAAAATACAATGAATTACCCTGTACCTAGGAAAGAATCCATTTCCGCACTTGCATTTATGGGATTTTTGTTCACATCCTGTTATATACTGCCCCGTATAACACGAATAGCACCGTTGTTAAATTAATTTTTTAATTATTATTCTTGTCAAAGGTGTCGACAACGAACTTACGCGTGTTTGTAATTTCAGTTCTGATTTTAGAGCGAAACCTAGGATGTCCGCGGTATCGGGCCGTCGTACGTATACAGAAGACGAATTGCAGGCCGCTCTGCGAGATATCCAATCGGGCAAACTGGGTACGAGACGCGCGGCCGTCATCTACGGCATTCCCCGGTCCACCCTTCGAAATAAAGTGTACAAATTAGCATTGGAACGGGAACGGGAATCTCATATCAACAGTTCGACGCCGCTGAAACTCGAAGACGAGGAAGCGATGGACGACGACAAAGAATTGTCCGGCGCGGAAGAGGAGAAAGAAGTGGAGAAAGCGTTGGAAGCGCCCCTCCTATCCATGGCGGACATCCTGAGGTTTTCCGGTATGGAACATCCGCCCGACGCCCTCAAGTTATTCTTGCAGAAAGCGAAAGAGGGCCAAGATCTGGGCACGGGTTTAAATCAGACTGAAGCTATACATTACATTCAAGCTCTAATCGCATCTCAAAACCTGCTGGCTAGCCATCAGAAGCCGCCAGAGGGATCAGTATTAAACCATTTAATTCCGGACTTTGCGAAGCGGGTGATGGTTGAGGAGCATCTGTTGAAGATGCAAGGGAGCAACGGGGAGAGTGAAAGGTTGACGAGATCGAGCCCGTCGAATTCGGTCATCACGAAACTGGAGAAAGCCAAGTCCGAATCCGACATGGAGACGGACGAGTCTACGCCGAATGTGATACTAAAAATTCCGTCCTTTAAGCCGACGACGTCGACCAAAAACGGTTGCGACATATTCAGGAGCGCGTCGCTGGAAACCTCCGGTAGTAGATTGATTTCGCCCCCGGTAACGAGCGATTCCGGATCACCTCCGATCCTGCCCGGCAAGGGGCTGATGATCAAAGACGTCATAACGCAAAGTATCAGCCAAAAGTTCCAGCAGGGTTTGGAATCGCCCGTCCGGAGGCCCATGCTTGACATGGATTTTAAAAGGGGCGGGTTTACGCCGCCCCTGGCCGGCAACATTCCGTCTGTCATCAAGTCGCAGCACGAGGTCAACAGACAATTTCAGCAGCAGCAACAGCAGCAACACCAACAGCCTTCCAAGCCTCAGAACGCGAGCGGCACCGGGCCGCCGAGTGGCGGAAAAGGTGAGATTTTTTATGTATCACAACATACGAAGGTCACTTAAAAAGTTTCCGACCTAACAATGATACAAGAGTTTTTTTTTTATTTTTCTCGTAACTTCTCCGAGCGATGCTGCCATCTCTTTAACCCATCCAAATAGTACCCAGCGTTTTTCTCCGCAAAATAATTGTTCACGAAGTTTACCGAAGTTTTTAGCTGCTCATAGAAGTCGCTAGGGGCTAGATCTGGGGTAATTCGTGGATTTTCACCATGGCAACCATTAAAATAGGATTTGTTTTTGCAAATGTGTCTGTTTTTCCGTAATTTATGTCCTCAGCTTGTCAGGTCGCCATCACTTTCCCAGCCGAAAAAACAGTTTTTGCTTTTTTCGGAGTATTTTTTATTCGGGCTTAAAACAGTGTATCTAAACTCAGGACTTATTGCGCCTGAACTGCGCTAATAGAGCGTTGGAAACAATGATTCGAAAGCGTTTTTGGTCTACCTAAATCTTGTTTTAAAATTTGACAAACACGTTCTTCAAACATTTTCATAACCTCTGCTATCTCTCTCACTTCAATTCGATGGTCGTTTAACACCATTTGATGAACTGCAATAATAAATGACGGTCAGAGTCCCCATACACAGAGTGCCACTCAACTTTAATTTGCGTAGGCGTATTGCCTTTCGAAAATAAATATTTTTTTAACAGATCTATGCTCAATTCTTTGTGTCGCTATCTTCAGGGTAAGGTTGAGATCTTTTCAAGTGGCCCTCGTAACTAATCTATATTTCAAGATGATCCGAGTACAAACTTCACATACAAACTAACTGAAAACTGAACTGTCGTTTAAAATACCCAAAACTTTTATGGAAAATATCAAATTCTTAACATATACTTTGATTTACACACAAGGTTATTTTTTATATTTGAAGATTACGCTAAATTTCAAAATTTTCGAAAGACATTTTAGAAGTGTTTTCAACTGGGCTGCAATAATTTCTTGATTTTCAAAAATTAATTGCGAAAACTCTACCAGTAATAAATTTAATGAATAGAATAACTACCAAAAATTATCGAAATTAGTGAGGCCATATTGTATTATTGCACCGAAGTTGAGGTGATTTTGAGGTTGTATCGTCCCGATAAGGTAATTTTTATTGATTCTGTAAACTCATTTTAAAAATTAATATATGCATATTAGTTTATTTAGCTGCTCCGAGACGGAAAAATCAGTCCCATCTCAACCAGCTAATAAAATTTGATTGAAACAACAAAATTCCTTTAAAAATACAAACCTCCTAAATCTAATATTCCAAAGCCTGTTCTAAAATATCTAAAATCTAATTCCGACGATGTAAATTTAAAAGCTGATAAAAGTTTGTTACACCCCTCATGACTCCTTATGTTGTTAAACCAAGATGACCTCTTCGACCTACCGTCAGCACCATTTGTTCTCCAACATACTCTCTAGCAAAATGTCTAGCTTTTATATTAAAACCCTTTTCGGGGAAAACCATTAGTTTCGTGCTTAATTCCTTCCATTCCATTGAACAATTAAAAACTATTACATTAGATTTATACGATATTATGGTTTGTTTCGACGTAGAACACTATTTCAGATATATTAAAATCCGAGAATTTGGAGCAAACCTTCTCATCTTATTGAAGGAGCCTGGTCTGGAACACATTTTTCTTGTAACGGTCAAATTTATGAACGAACGTGGGGAACAGCTATCTGTTCTCCATTATCACCAATTATCGCGAATATATTTATTTCTTTGAAAAGAAAGCCCTCGACACCTTCTATCAAAAAACCAGGATTATGTAAATGCTACGTTGATCATATTTTTGTTATTTGGCCTCAGGAGTTCACAGCATGGCATGCGTATGCGGCAAAGAATCCATTAGAAAAGACAAATTTCAACTAGACTCTCTTGCATGCAATCAACTTTCTAGCGAGCGAGAATCTATAGAAATTTATAAGCAACCAATCAATCTTAACCGCGACTCACGTCTTTACCTTTCACCAATATGGGAATCAGTCATCCGAACCAATGCTTATGCTCCTCAATGCTCCCAATTATGCTCCTCCTTCAGTTCTGCCCCCCTACAATATATAAGCAGCTGCAGTGTAAAATGGGAACCAGTTTCAGTTAAGCTCTGAAGAAGTCAACAGGATGATTGGCGAAACTTCAGCAAGCTTGATTTAAAAACAACCGGCTCACGAAGAATCTAGAGGATTTGTATATCGTATCCAAACTTCTTGACGATCTGTCAGCGGCCAGATCATTGGTTAAAAACAACAATTTAGATTTTTCGCATGCACATGTTCAACAAAAAAAAATCAAGTTTCATAAGTTCCTGTATTATCAGCATAGGCAAGGCCTTTATATCTCTAGGAGCTATAATATGAACACAGCAGATAAATTTCGAAGTGCAAGACGTGCTAGACAATCCCTTCAACATAGATTTCTCCACATATATTTTTAGTCACTTCGGCCGCAGATTTTTCGAAACGGTTTGCCTTATTAATAAATTTGTAATAGTCGATTTGGTCGTCGGTTTGATGTGAGTTGTTATACCTCTTACCTCTCACCGTTCAGGTAAAGAATTTTATTTCATTAGTTTTCTCACCATTTATGAGAAATAAGATTCTCGGATATACGAACGTACTCTCCCACTCTAAAATATTTTAATAAGCTCTCTAGAATACAATTATTCTTTCTAACACTATTCTATGCGTTAAAATGAAACAGCAAGTTAATTAAGTTCGCACTTACATTTATGCCCGCATTATAATCCCTCTCAATAATATGTAGTTTAAATCAAATTAATAGAAAAAAACACAGCAAAAATAAAACAATTTACAGTTCAAACGAACCCAGTGTATACCGGCTAATCTGAATTAAGTTTTCATTATTGTTACGAGTAGAGATACAAAGTAGGTTAAATTATCAAATTGAAATCCGAACAACAAAGCAATTGCATGCAGGGTTTAGGAAAAAATTAAGAATATGTACTCTTTTTTAATGGGCCACCCTGTATAATTTTTACTCTAACGTTCGTAAATCACCGACAGAACAAAAAGGGTCATATGCAACATTAGCCTAAAATTGAAAATAACCGAATTATCTCTTTTCGTCTAGAAGGCTATGCGAAATGAAACTCCATTTTCGTTTTATTGTTTTATTCGAGCATAAGAGACAATAATAATAACACCAATTTCCACGTCATCATTTATTATATAATTATTTCGTGTCCTTCTTTTAGCAAAAACGGTTTCATTATTTCTAAAGATTTGATAAAAGCTCAAAATGAGTTTTGGTTAATGTGTTAATTATTAGTATTATAATATCAATTGATGTCAATTATTTAAATTAATTTTACTATATCACCTATTCAAAAATGGTTTTTATACGTGAAGAAAAGCGCGACATGTTGACTTTTTTGTCAATGTTATGTTAACTTTTGCCGCCAAAACATACATAATTTTCGATATGTTTTTTATGGACTGACGAATCAATTTTTTCAAATTCTGGTATTTATAATTCAAAAACCATCATTATTGAGAAAATTCATTGCTAGCTCATTTACGATGGCACGCTGATCGGTGTGCGGTACAATCGTAATTATTACTGACATTCTGGATGGTTTTCTAGATAAGCTTGACCTAATAAGTAAGCTCATATCTTACGAGACACATATCAAACATGACAACCATTTTCGACAATAAATGAATTGCTACAAATGGCTTGGCTTTCGAGGTCACCAGATAAAACCCCACTTGATTTCTACTTGTGGGGTTATTTAAAGGACAAAATTTGTAAGGAAAGATACCAACACGTTGATGTTTTAAAGGCGACAATAAGAGAAAAAATAAACCAAACAGATGGTAGAACAGTATTAAAGGCCATTCGCTCAATAGAAAAACTTGCGAGGTGCTGTTTTTGAACACCTCTTAAAATAAATTTCATCGTAAATCATAAATTAATTAGGTTTTTTAGTTTTTTTTTGTATTTTATTATTTCCATGTTCCTGGAAAGTGGAGATTCATTTCGCAACCACTCATATTCATACAGTCTAACAGAGAAATGTGCTGATAATTCGGTTATTTTCAATTTTATTCTATTGCATATGACCTTTTTTGTTCTGTTGGTGATTTAACGTTAGAGTTAAAAATATACATGGTGTTCCATTTACATATCCAAAGTTTTTTCTTTTCAGAGGAAAAATGCTAATAGTTTGCTAATTCAACCGAGTTTGTATCTCTATTCAGAACAAGGTTACCAATGATAAACACTTAATTTAAATCAGCCGGTAAACTCATTTCCGGATGTTTCGAATATCGACGCATTTCTCGTAGATTTTGATTTTGTGATTTCTTACTGCCATCTTGGTCAATGTTGAAAACTCGACGAGCACAACGCCATTCGTAAAAAAATCGACAATGACTATAATGAAATTCAAGCAATTTAATCCACTTCTTCGAAGATAGGCAGCCTAAAACCTATTATCTTCCTAGTCATGCCAGTTTGCCAAACCTGGAAATAGGGAAGTGCGAAGGAAACCTCAATAATTGGAAAACATTTTTGAATTTATTTAATTCCATGATCCCCGCTAGTAATCAGTTGACTGACTCCGAAAAATGTTCTTACTTAATTAGTTGCCTTTAAGATTCTCCGCTTGTTCTTGCCATTGATTTGAAGATATAAAAATACGCGGGTCATCTCAATAAGCCATTGGCGGGAAAAAGAAAGGTCAAAAAGACTACCAAACGAAATAGTTAAGATGTAAGACGTAATATAAAAAGTGTCAGAAAGCTCAACACTCTTTAGCATTTCGAATGAAATATCCAGACTTCCTAGAAATTTCGAATTCTTCCGAAGGAAAATTCAACTCTAACCGGCCCGAAGGCAATTCACAACAGGACCGCAATAACCAACCTTCTACTTCAGTCGGATTTACTAATTTCTATTTACTAAACTCCTATCAACCACACCGTCCTGTTATCTAACGCTGTAATCGATGTTCAAGACGCGTTCGGTGGTTATAAATTCCACTAGATACGTTTGGGTTCAGTTATGGTCATAAGGAGATTCTGAAATCTTACCTTACCAGTAGTGCTTTTTTCTAAATTGATTTTGCGCAAACCAAATAAAATAATAATTCTTATTATAATAAACAGCATTAAGATATCTTAAGGATTCCTCGAAATAGATGTAGTTTCGACAGCTTTCGGGTGCAATATGTTATGATAAATATTTCATCAAGAATCTTTTTTAAATTCAAAAATATTTTTTTTTTCAAAATTTTCAGAAAGCGTTTTTTTAACATATTATTTTTTCATTATTATATATCTCATGATAGAGAAAAAATCACTTAAAATTTTAAAAATTGTTGAAAACCCCAATAAAAGTCTTTACATATTTTGTCCTACTCCCTATTTCAAAATATCCAATTATGCGTACATTACGTATGCCGAAGGTGTCGCTATAAAATTTCAGTTCCACTAATTACCAAAATATTAATTATCATTAATAATTAAACACAACAAATGTTTTCGGTAGATACTTAAAACGCTGATGGTATTTTGCCGTTTCTCAATTCTAATGATTGTTCACGGTACTCAGTGAATGTATTCTCACCGTTTATTGTCATTGTCATTTATATAACAGAACAAGTTTCATAAACGACACTTTAATGACGACTTTGTCTAGACACCATCACCACCAGGAGAATGAGAACTGACAAAACATCAAAATACCATAAGTGTTTTGAACATTTACCAACCCGCGGTACTGTTTAACTCAGCTTTCAGCAAGCCACAAACTTACTGAAATTACAACTGAAGTAAAGTTATACAATATCAATATGCAAGACAAAAACCTTAGGACTCAGATGTGGAGGATCTGAATGTTTAGACCACATGGTCTGCTTTGCTTTTGTTGGTGCATTTGACATTTCTCGCAAAAGACGTTTCACGAGACAAGATATTTTTCTAAAAATGTTTGTTTTTCCAAAAAAATTAATGAATTTAAGCCTTTGAAAAACTAAGTAAACTTCTAAACCAAAGTAAGCAAATAAACCATGTATTACATCCAAACATTGCACCTGATATGTGATATATGATAAAAAAGAATTTTTGTGAAAAATTAAAATTTGTTGATATATATTTGAATATAAGTATTAAAAATAAACGAAACAAATGACAATGAACTATGTTTTCGTATTTATTTTCTTTAAAAAAATATTTTTCAAAAACTGTGTCTTATTTTTATTAAGTTCTTTTGCTTATTGGTTTCGCCAAATGAATTTTCCAGACAAATATTTCAGATGACGGAGAATGATCGGTTATTAAAAGTTTCCACCCAGTTACACCCAAACTTTGAAAATACTAACGAAATGGGTGGTGGAATGATTGCCTCTACTGTAGTAACTATACTATACTCTCTTTGTTTCGATGAAACTGAATTATTCTAAACTTTCGTGCTTATAAAATTGTTGTTAATGATGGATCTAAAAAAACTGCCAAAGTTGCAAAATATCAATATTTCCTATACTGAATGACTCAGGATAGTGTTACTCCATACTAGATTTTTCGGATACTTTTAAAACAGGAAGTAAAAGTAGCTTTTTCAAAAAATCTTATTTTTTTTTTGGTTATCTTTAATCTCTTCATTTATTTTACAACTTATGTCCTCGATGCATTTGCAATGCAACTTTGACGCACTGCATAATAAAATTTTCAGATAAATTTTTATTTAATATTAACTGTGAAACCATTAGGTACTCTTATGAAATCAGGAAGTGTGTCCCTCCACAATTTTCTGATACATAAACAATTTTATTATTTCAACAAGTAGCGTCCGTACTGGTTTAAATTAAATATAAAGATATAGCCACTGCTTTCTATTAAAATAATTTCGCTTGTAAAACAATATCAATACACGTACCAAGAAAGTACATAGAATAAGATGGCATTAGCTAATTAGGTTATATTTCTTAGGTACGCGACCGAAGCGTGGCAAATATCGTAACTACGATCGGGACAGTCTGGTCGAGGCTGTAAGAGCGGTTCAACGTGGAGAAATGTCGGTACATCGGGCCGGTAGCTACTACGGCGTACCTCATTCGACCCTCGAGTACAAGGTGAAGGAACGGCACCTGATGAGACCCAGGAAACGCGATCCGAAACCTAACCCGGTCGATGAAAAAATCGCGAGTCTTAAACAGAACGACCTTAGGAATTCGCAGGTAATCATTCCTAACGGTTCAAATTCAATTTTTCTTCTAACGTGCAGGATGACTGCTTTTATTTCTGTTTATACTTTCCTACATATTTGTCAAATTTGTTCGATTGTTTGTTTTAAATGCCATCGATAACTGCTTCTTATTGCTTTAAAACCTACTGCCTGTTTTATCCCGGATGGGTTACACTCTTATGCAGAATGAGACATAAAATCATCAATCCAAAGACGATCACTGTTTAGCGGGTTTCCTACTTTTTGTTGTAATAATTTGGGAAGTCTTTACTTTTGTTTCAAAACTAGTTCATAAGGAAAAAAGATAGGACATTGGTGAAACAATAGATAAATTACGGCTTACAGATTACTTTGGAAACCTTTCTTCGCTACCACCCAGTCCTTTGGTACCACCCAGATCCATTACAGCTTACAAACTACACATTTGGAGCCGGTCGTCACTAGAACCCAATCCTTTGGTACGGCTCCCTCCATATTTACGTTCAATTCTTTTACTAGAATCCTCAGCTGCGATACTAGTTTCTTGGATTACCTCGTTGTCTCTGGCTTGGTTACGTTTGTAAAGTCAAGTGTCATTTTTCCAAACTTCTCTAGGAGGGAGTTGTCATGTTTAACAAACAGTTACATAGGTGTAGCGCTGATCATAGATTGTGACGTCTGACGTACAGACGTTGCACGCTACTCAGCGGTTTTGACGCTTCCACTTGCCAGGTTCTTGCCCACCAGACAACCGCTTCATGCGCTGTAATTGGTTTACGTGCAGCCAAAGTTAGGGATATTGATGAGTTTAAACCCTAGTTCTTTCAACACATTATTCTGTACCTTCCTTTATGCAAGTGTTTCCTTGAACGTGCGATTTCCAAGGAAGCTTTTTGTCAAATGTGACACCTCGGTATTTTGCTTCCCTGGAAAACTGCAAGTTTTCTAAAATTTGCACGGAAGTGTTACATGACACTTTAAGCTTATGGATAACTGTCTGCTTTTATTATCAATAGAATTTAAAATTGTTCCATAATATTTCCATAAATTCTGTCAGCGAAATTAAAGTGTGACAAAATTGAAGTTTTACATAGAATAAACTCCTCGAACAATATGGCAACAGACTTAATTATCAGGATTGGTTTGAAAAAGATGCTCGTCACCAATTTGTAAACAGTTATCTAAGACATTTTAAAATCACAGATGGAGCAGATGTAAGTCTGGGTATCGCCAGCATATAAGTGATATTTACAATAACGAAGAGAATTCATTCATAGATTTCAAAAACCTTTAATTGTGACTATTGCCTTTTTGGCGAATATCTTGGAAAGAAGTGCAGAAATGCATATACATCGACTTCTCCAAAGCGTTTGACGGGGTGAATCATCACTGGGTGATCAAAAAACTTAAGAGATCTTGAGGGCTGACTGTTTTATTGAGTTTTTGGAAAGATGTAGATGGTCGATATTAACAACTTTCGTCATCGTCTTCCATTCGTCATTTACTTAAAAGTGAAAAAAATTGGAAACTTTCTTTGTGTTTTCAATATAAGTGATGTACTTGTTGTCATATGAACCATACTCTTTTCGAGTATACATATTTATAGTATCACACACATATTACCGCTTGCAGAATTCTCACTATGGAACACCTCATATTATAAAGTACGAAATAATTTCACATCAACGGCAAAGAGCAAAATTTGACTGTCAATGTTAGCAATTATATCATTAATAAAAAGCAAAACAGTCAATGGCGTTAGATTACTACCCTAGGAAACGCCGCTACTAGCCATACTAGGATACTACTAAGCGACCACGGAGCTTGGCATACTGCATTTTGTTACGCAGATATGATTTTATAAATCCCACAGAATTCAAGCATACAGCCTTTAAGAAGATAGCCTTTCCAGTGAAATGTGTAAAGCAAACTAAGTTAATAATGGTGTTTCGATTTTTAAAGAAACCATGTTGTGTGTGAGTCCAGTCTTTCATTCACTTTCTGACAGCCATATCTGGAAAAGGTGATACTGTTGGCACAGGCCTATAATGGAGATATCAGATGATGTTTCTTTCTCTAAGAGGGTAATTTCAAAGAAAGGGGTTTGTTGCTAACGCTAAGTATGCGCAATCTCGCATAATAAAACTAAATTATTTATTTTTATATTTTCTTTGTCTTTCTTTAGTTTATGTAGATCTTGTTTCTTAATTATCTTACTGTGATTTTTATATTAGCGTAACCCATACACCCGTACAATTGTAGGAGGTACATTTTATCTAGTAGTAAACTATAAAAATACATTCTCTTAAATAACTAAATAGAATTAGTTGTCAGAATATTTTCCATCTGTACTATTGCTATCATCCAAAGATATAATTAATGGTTCTACGATGTTCCAAGTGTTTTCTGATAATAGTTCAGACTGAGTTTTCAGTACATCATCAATTACAAGGTCGAACATTTTGTGGTTTATCTTATTACCTTGTTTTTTTTTCTTAATTCGGTTCATATTATTTCTGTAGAACTCGAATCGCAGTGATAAGGTGGTACTGCTAAGGGTATGTTAACGAATTTTTTATGACCTCGTCTACGAAATAAATTTTATCATACGATTTGCTGCTTAAAACTTTCGTTGTTTTTTCGGTAAGTTTAAGGAACTCTTGCAATACTTCTTTTTAGTTCAAGTGCTGCGATAACTAGCATTATCATAAACTACCGGGTGGAATATTTGAAGAGATTTATTTTACCGAATTTGCGAGTTCTTTTGTGATGATATTAAATGAAAGTAGCAAAGCGTCTGATACCTGACCTTAACTGGAGCCACAATGTAAAATGAGTATTCTTTTTCCTCTAGATGCAGCATTCAAAATGCAGTTCGATAAAGAATTTTTCCACCCTTTCTACAGGTGTCAAACCAATTCTCGCGAAATTGATGAAATATTTTTATCACCATTGCACCAATCGTTGGAACTCTTTAATGTATCGTATTTTGTACAGAAATCTGTTGCAATCTATTCAAGTGAAGGAATCTGATGACTCGCATAAACTCTCTTGCTGTTCTTGCTTCTCTGCGAATCCACTCTGCATCACTATTCCTAAACACTTTCATTGTGTCTTTGTTTGTTACATCGTTTCTTCATTTCGAGTGGATCGTTATCAAAAAATCGACGCAAGTTTGAGTTAACCCGAATGTCCCCAATGGGAGCTTCCTTGCCCTCTGATATTTTTAGAAGAAAATATAAATTATTAGCGGATTCAAGATTATTATAATAAACGTTGAATTATATCTTTTGAAACAGTTTCCTAAAATTTAACCAGTATGCGCAATTGTCCGAAAATAAGGATAGTATTAACAATTCTCTTGGAGCACATAAGTAGTATAGTAGTGCTGGTTCTAAGCCGCTTTTGGCGGGAAAATTTGAATTTTCCTGAATGTTAGGGCGTGTTCTCATTCGAGGTTTCGTGGAAAATTATCGGCGTTCGCACATACATACCAGTGTGTGAACAGTAACGTCTTAAATTCGAACCGATTATTTAACACAATAATGAATATGAACAACCACGACATTTGTGTAATGGAAGATGGTAATATATGGAAAATTTCTAATTTATTGACTTTAATTCTAGAGTTATTTTAGATTTCTTTTCTTGCTCATTCATATAAGATCTTCGGGTGCTTGGGTCGCGATTAGACCTTCATATTCGAAAATGTCGATTTGTATTTCAATGAATGAGAACGCATGCGCCAACCTGAACATACACGAAAATTCAACATTTTCCCGTGCCAAGCCGAACGCTCCCGCCAAAAGAATGGCATTACTATATGTACTACTTACATATTCCAATAAAAGTGTATTTTTGGTTCGTTGCTTTCTTCCATTCCGTCGTCGGAATTTTCTTCAACCCACTGTCTAAATGACAAATAATTACTGTAACACTACCAAAGGCAGATTTCAAAATGTCTAAGGTGTCGACACTACTAAAATAAAAATACCTCCCTGTAGTGATAAACACTTGGAAATGGACTTTTTAATGGTTTATTGCTCCGTTTATTGAGGGTAAAGGACCTTCCGTTCATGATAGGCCAGGCCAAGTCATGACCATTTATTGTGTGCTAATTGGCCGCACTTTTACCCTTGTGAAATAAAAAGCACGTTTTGATGCATTTAGAGTAACCAGACGCAGTTGCTATTTAAAACAAAAAAAATAACCTAACCGAAATATTAAAAAATAAAAGTAGTCCTGCCCTGTCGATGGTCCGAATGGAGTATAATTATTTGTTTTGTACAATTAGCAAGATAAAATGAAACCGATAATGAAACCTCCTCAGCAAAAGTTCTCGCCGACATCCCCGAACGGCATCAAGCACCCGATGTTCGAAGCCGCCGCGGCGGGTTTACCGGCGGCTGCTGCGGCGGCGGGCCTCGCGGCCGGTTACAATCACCCGCCATTTCCGTTTTGGCCGCATCCCGGATTCCCGCACAACCCGCTGGAATATGCTGCCGCCGCGCGGAACCCAGCGACGCCCTTTCTGCCGCCCAATCCCGAATTTTTCGCGTCGCAGATGATGCAGAAGCTACAGGAAGAGTCGTCGAAGACGATAGGCACGGCGTCGCCCCAGGGCAGCACTGCCACATTGGCGAAAAACGCGCGACAGATAGCCGAATCCCTGCTGGACGGCTCCGGGTCGAATGGGTAAGGAACTTTGCCAACTGTCCTGATTTAGGTGCATTTCAACATCCTTACCTACGGCACCATGCATAAATAGTGGCGTTTCATTGGTTGATACTTTTGAAACTGCGGGTTACGATTTATTTCTTACAAATAAAATACTTACGAGTTAGATAGTAAATGGCTTACTGCATTTCTCTCCTGTGAAAATTTGAAAATATTTCAATATTTCAATTTGTTAGATAATTCTTAACTAACCCAAGCTACCATGGTTTTGTAACCATTTGATACTGCTGTATTGCCTGATGAATTTGTGAATCTGATATTGCCAGACAAAAAAGTGATTAGAATCTATCTATGCCAGACGTTAATGTATTAAATGTATTGGTGGAGACATTTGGCACAAACACCAAGGGTAATACCAGAACGTCGATACAGCCTCCAGAGTAAAACCAAAAACAAAACTCCATAGTATAATGATAACAATTTAGAATATTACATACAAACTTCTTGACTAGGCAATACAAATTTTTCTTAATCCAATTTTTGATTACAATAATTGAAGAATTAAATTGCCAAACCCCATGGTTTTTCTCATAAGTAGCAAAAGTCGAGCTATTTCTTTGTGAACTGCAAAAAAAAGGAAATACAATAATGCAGATACGGTGTCAAACAATAATATTGAATACCTATTAATACTAAAATACTCAATATGCTTGTGTACAACTGCTCCGATAAAAAATTCGATACTTTTGTTGTTCCTTCTAAATTACTATTGTTGCTAAAATTATTAGTGTTGAAATTTTTTGTCATGTTAATAAGAACTAAAAGTTCCCATGTAAATCTTTAGATGCCCAAATATTAGCTCACCTGTACATTTTGTGGGAACGGTTTAATATAACTTTTTGAAGAGGCCGAGTTTGAATAAATTTTAATAAGCCAATCTTCAGTTATTGAATTAAATATTACAAAATAGAAATACATGAAACACCAGTGAATATTTTCCATGAAGCGTTTTCCAAAACTTGACGACGTCAAGCTGGACAATGACATCAATTAAAGTTTGATTTACAATAAAGACATGTACATTTGGTTTCACACATTCAAAGTAAACTAAGTATGCAGGTATATCCATTATGTTTTCTTCGTATCAAACACATATTCGGTTCTTAAGACCCCATCCCTCATTCAAATGACGGCTTAAGCAACAAGGAAGCTTCGAGGGAATAGCGTTTTGTAACTGGTTAAAATTTTCTAATTTAACATTTTTATAGATAACGCTCTTTAAGTGACCCAGCAGGAAAGAAGCACGGCATCTTGGACCAATAATATTCCTGTTAAAAATATTTCCCAAATACTCCCAACCATACTAGTGCGGGTTCAATTTAATTTTGTAATAAGCCCAAACAGATTTTTGCCGTAAGGTTATAGTCAAACTCCCATCATAACATTTATTTTTTCACAATTCGATTATTTTGAACATTTGGTTCGTTGTTGAGTGTGAATGTACCATCAGCAGTGAAACAAATATATTTTTTTAAATCCCTATCATGATTTGCTTTTTCCATCATTTCAAAATAAAATGCTACTCTTCTTGCTTCATGGCCTTCCCGGAGCTCTTGGTGCTTTTCGCATTTGTAGGAAAAATAGTTGTTTTTTTTTAATGTGCGCGACACTGTGGTTTGATGTTTATTTACAGCTTGTCCAACAATCCTCGTACTAAGCATTTTGTCTTCATCTACATGCAGTAAAATGTTCAAACTTCTATTGTCCCTTTCTTCTGCTCTATTATCGACATTTTCATTTAAACTTTTACAGTTATTTATAACGGTGCCTTTGGACTCGAATTGGGTAATAATACGTTTAATTTTAGCAGGAAAATAAACTGAAAATATTTCAGACACTGCTCTAAGAAGATTCTTTGAATAGAATTGAATAACACATATTTAGTTTTAATTTATAACGTATAACCTATAACAATCATAAATAAAAGTATTGTTACTGTCACGAATTTTTGTGTTGTCATTATCAAAATGAATTAAATTTTGCCTCACTAATTTTTCAAAGAATTCTAACGACTACTAGGACACAATTCAAGCCATCCTCTCAGACAGCTATCGTCAACCCAATAAAGATCCGGACGAAGAGGAAATCTGTCATTAAAGCTTCATGTTCTTTGAGTCTAGTTGATATTTGTCGTCCGGACTCCCAATGTACTCTTTGCCTCATATGGTATCTCAAACGGAATTTTCTCTTTGACGGATCCAAGATGTTGAGAGATTTTTGGACAAGTGGTATCTGATCAATAGAAAATCAGACCTAACATTGGGTCATTCTGTTTACAAACCTTAATGCATTATCACATCACCGTCCGACCCAAAAATCATCGGTTATCAACTCTCTCTCCTGTTTACAGAGCCCTAAACCTATCTCAACCCGAACCACTGAACCCAAAATTAAAACACTGCTTTTCTTCCTAATAATTTTCACATTTCTCACCTTAGTTCTTCTATCAAACAATTTCCGTTATTAGACGGTCAGCTCAAAAATACAACTCATCAAAAAACCACTTACATAATGTAACTCCCTAAATGGTACCGAACCAATATTAAAAATGAAAAAACGAATACATCGAGGAAACAGGTCAAAAAAAATATTAGCCAGACCAAAAAGAACACCACAGATTTTATTCGATAAAGCCAAAATACTTGCATTTCTCCAATTTTATGGCAAAATACTTTCATCTATCCAAAAAAACATCGTAAATCCATATAAATAATTAAACACCTAAATAATATAAACCGCGACATGGGTTTCGGCCTGTCTTAGTAAAACAAATTTTACAATATTATTTAAACCAACTTGGTGCCTACATTTATATAATATACAGATTTTTATGATTCTATATGCAGTTTTGTGTGCTTGTCTCTATCTTTAACTAAATTATAAGAATTGTCTACATACACATAACATGGTCAGGCGACCGTTTCCAAGTATCCGTTATCACATTTTTAAATTAAATTTTCAATACTAATATTTACAGTGGAAAAGAATGTAATTTTGATATAGGCTTATATGATTTATAACTTGGGCATTCGTTGTTTTTTAGTTTCACCACCCTGCATTTAGTTATTTGTATTGTACAACACGAATTTATTTTTATAGATCTTTCCTCGACGGAATAATTAGGTCCAGCCTAGAATCTGGCGTGCCATCGTCAGAGGAAAAGTCGCCGAAAGAGGAGAAAAACATTGCGCCCGAAAACATGTCCAACAAAGCACTTTTGGAGCAACTTTGTCGAAATAGCAGGCTCAACCCTCTGTCGAAACCGTCTCTCACGGATCCAAGCAGTTCGGGAGATGAATCCTATCGAAAAGGATCTAGCCCATTGAACTTCTCGGCAGGTAAATTAAAAAAGATTTGTTTAAAAATATTTAATTTTAATATTCATCAATTAATTTTTTATTAAGGAACGGTTATTTTAAAACCTAGCTTGAATTCAATATTATTGTATCTTTTTTTAAAGGTTAGTGGTTAGAATTAAATTTCAATTAAAAATTCTTGTTTCGTTAGAAGTACCAACTAATATACATGTCTCCAGAGAGCAATATCGCTTATTGGCAAGTGAAATCAAATTTAAAATTGCTGAAAAATAACAAATATAAATAATTGATAGAAAAAAACCATAATACCATACACAAAAAATATCTAAAAAATGGTCCATAAAAAACATTTCGCATGGTAATTTAAAGCCCTCCGGAAATAGTTCCGGAACAGTTCCGAGAATTGAATACAGGACACAACTAAACTGTAAAATATTTGAAGCGGATCATTAAAAAATGTGAACTTTTACACATACTCCTAAAAAAAGATGTTTGAACAGGAAAGTTTTTTAAATAATATAATTTGAAATCAAAAACAGTTGAAGATGTCAAAAGCGCTTACACTTGTTTTTTCATTTATTTTATTTTTGTTGCAAACATGTATTAATTGTCTTCTGGTTGAAATTTACAAGACATGCTTGTACTTCACCGCTCTGTATATGAAAAATTAGCAGTAAAAATTGTGCGTCTCGGGCGGCCACATTTTCGTACAGAAGGGAATAATTTTACAAACCAACTGACACATAAAAACTGAAAACTTTCAAATTCACGAACGGTTTACAGCCATCTTAGTTATTGGTTGAAAGCGGCATTTGAAATGACTGCGTATGATTCAAAGAATCCTGTTGTCAGGATAGGCAAGAATTTTATGTATTTCGTGGCTATATATAATTTAAAAACCGAAAATCCCGTGTTTTTTATTTTAGATATATCTCTAAAAACAGTCAACAATTTTTACTTGCCTGTTTCAAGTGTCCGACATTTTGTGTCATAGTTTCAATCTCAGAGATATTTTTACTTATTTGTTATTCATTTGCTGCGTGTATAAACTCATCGTTCACATTTCGTCTTAAGCTTCTGAAAAAAAGGACCCGTACATGCCCTTTTACCTACCACCTATTACTGTAAATAAGACAATTTTTCGTTGGTTTTAAAAACGACCTCCAAATCAGACAATGTTTGCATTTCTGACGACGCTCTTATTTATTTCTTTTTATTCACTTTCCAGGAGTAAATAATTCCATGAATAGTCACGACGACAATGTAAGTCGATCACCATCACACTCCATCAAGGACGACCACTCAGATGTTCACACAATAGAGCTTTCTAACGATTCCAACGATTCGTCGGGAAAAAAACCGAACCAGGAAGACAGTAACAATAGTGAAAGAAAGCTTCCACGAATTTACTTGAAACAGGACCTGGCGAAACCGGAAAACCTGAAACCTGAAATGTTGGTGCGTTTTCGGGAGATCCTTTCCGATCGGAACGGAGGGGGACCATCGAACGAGAGTAGAGCAGGTAGTAGTGCCTCAGAGAACGACGCACTGCAAGACTGACATCTACCCGTCGTAAGTGAAAGGATTTTTTATTAACGATGTATTTATGAAAACAAAAATGGTCGCCTCACCCACAAGGAAAACAATGGAAACATGTGTACGTAAACTGAAGCTAAACTGATCGAAAATGAGCTAGATATGACGTGTTTGTTGATATTTATTGTTTTTTTACGTTTTTTGGTTACTTAGAATAGTGTAATCGATAAACATCAAAGCAGTGTTGCCTATTTACTAAATGTTTTGAATTTTAAAAATTGTACACATTCAATCGTGGCGGTGACATATCAAATAATCTTTGAAGCTGGTGGCTTACGTTTTAAAACCGAAATTCGTTTTTCTTGTTTAGTTTTCTTGTTGAAAAAAGTTATCGATTTGATTTTAAAAAATGTGCTAGAATACAGTAAGTTTTATTACTGAAATTAATACGCTTTAAATACATGTTTAATATAAACTTTAAAGATTATTCGATCATCTTAACTCCTCATAAATGTTCGATGTATTTGGCATGTAAAAAAATCTACTATCATAAATGTATTTTCTAGGTGTCTTTGACGTCGCTATACCTCAAATATGTAAAAATTCTCACCTATCCATGTTTGTACATCATATGCTGCTTTGATGATTGAAAGATATGATGAACTATCGACGAAAAAAACACATTTTGGGAACGATCCCAACAATTGAATGGAAAAATTATATCTATCTGTGATTTAATCAAAATTTTTGATGTATATTTTCTCTAAAAATATCTTAAAATATTATTATATAAAATTAAACAGTTAGCAGTAGTTAATTGATATGGAAATATTTGAATTATAAACTGGAAAGCTGATCGTGAATTAGTTTACTACTACCATCAGTTTTCCTGGTGATATTTTTTTATTTTGTTGATTTGTTTTTCATATAACAATGAAGTGCAATTAGATGGTATATACATAATACATATATATTTACATCAATATTAAGTAGTATATAAGATATATTAAAATATATTATATATTTGAAAAATGGAAGCTATTTTGTTTGAGAGATAAAAGATTGACTCCAGGTAGAGTTAAAAATGTTGGTTCTTTCCCTTCAACAACCGTCAAATAATATTCAAACAGCCGCAAACCAAACCGATACCGACAGTTCTTTGGGTAATCTTTTGTTGTTGCAATATGTAAAAAAATAAAAGATTAGGTTTGAAGATTTTCTTAAGCCTTTCATTTTGCTCCATTTGCATCACTCTCCGTTATGGTTACCTTAAACAAAAGTGTATCACACTTTATCAAAAAAGCATGATTTTATTTAATCTTCGGTATTCTACATAGCAAGATAACTGTCCGATCCTTGCAATTTTTTTTAAAGGAAATAGCATTTTTAAGGTTTGTAATCATATAAAGTGGGTTTTACTTTTTTATGGCATTTTATTATGTCTTGGATAGGAACAGATGGTACACAATGGTAATTTTGTTTTCAGTACGGAAATTTTTGAGATGTTAGTTTTCAATTACTTTAATCACATTTTGGCATGCAATCATCTTTGTTTGAAACTCTGACATTGTTTAAGAATTTATTTTTACTAATAAAATTTTCATTTCATTTCATTTTGAACATGTTGCAAGAACTACAAAGATACCACCCAAACCAAATCAAACCAGATATACAGTAAACACACACATATTTAAGTTGGACCAAATACTGCAGTATGTTGTATATAAAATGGTATGCTTTTCATACATATCGTTTGATACGCTAACTTAATCATCAAAGGAGTCGGAGTCACTGTGAGTAGTTTTAAATGTATTCGAAAATCAAAATATGGGCTCCTGATGATCAAGTTGTGTTATCAAAATAAAACATTCCAACCATATATGTGCCAGATTTTTTATTCACAACAATTAGCATTGAAATTATTGAAATATAAAAAATATAAAGGTGATCGTTAACCCACCTACGCAGTTATCACTGCTAGATGCATTTTTTATAAACAAAGGTGTATATTTTCATTTCGAGGTCGTTGCGACTTCCCGTTCTGCTAGTGTTAAGATTTCGCAAAGGAAACACTGTTTTAAATGTTTGTGTGTATCACTTTTACGCTTGCAATGCAAAATATGATTATCGACTTCTCGACCTTCAAAAATAAAGTAACCCATGTAAAGACAACCTCATTTGTATACCTTGAGAAAAACTCGCCAAATTTTTGAGTTCAATCCACGGAAAAGGGTTTGTTTGTTTTTGAACGAAGTCCACAAAACGATTTGTATTTTTCGGCTTCTAGTGTACCCGCAAATCGAATTTGCAATTTTTGATAGCATTTATCCCTTTTTTGGTTGTTGGTGCGGATTTTCTACTCTCTCCTTGGGAAAGAGTAAAAAATTTTATCCCAAAATTATTTCGTAGGGTTCTCTTTAAAAAAGTGACTCAACTTCGTTTAATATTTTCTTAAAATAATTTAAAAGACCTTAAATTAGACAATTTTTTTTATCTAAAAGATAATGTTTTAAAATTAAGGTTAGTAATATTGTATTTTGGTTCTTTTCCAATCCGCGTTCCTGCAATTTTCATTTTTATTGTAACCTACTTGATTGATTTCATTTCGCTTAATTTGATAGTTTGATGATTATAATAATGTGCAATAATATAATGTACTTGGTATTTTAGTACACGCTTTTATTAAAGGGAATCCTCAAACTGCCAATCGACTCTGTTTTGTTCTCTACGACTATACTATTATATCATTTTTACCAACGCGGTCCAAGCAAATGTAAATTCAACAGTGTAAAAGTAACCTTACAAGTATACGCGTAAATTTATATTTTTTAATAATCACTCACTAAAAGCTCTTCGTCCGAAGGACATATTTTTATGGGAAGAGAATTTATTATATTCAAAAAAATACTAATGTGTTCGTTAAGAGGTATGTGTAACGTTTTTATTTTAAAAAACTCATTGTTATATATATACATATATTGCCTTTTAATAAAGGACGCAGAGATTTTTTATTATGATGGCTCATTTTATTAAATTTAATGGATTTTTTAGTGCTTAGCTTTAGATGTAAATTTTTTAAACTGGAATGTTTTTAAACTATAGAAAGACATTTTTTTTATATTCTTGAAGTGATATGTTTGTGGTTTTTTAATTTATTAAATTTCATTAAAATGAACTTGTACGTTTATTGTCCAATATTTTCGTAACAATTACTGTAAGTTTTTTGTTGCACCCGTAAGTGTCAGTATTTCCAATTCTATTTAAAAACCTAACGGACCAAGGTTTCTGTTTACTAGTTGTTTAGATTTATCATTCCACAAATAGCTTTTCACGAATAAGACTTCTATAGTTTTTCCTACATATTTTTTTACATACACATAACTGTAATGATTTTTTATAACAACGTATTTGTTAATTAATTTTAGTTGTCTAGGATAATTTTACCATTTAAGTTTTCGCTTTAATATCGTGTAAATAGTACTTTTTTAGCACACTTTAAATGTTTGTGTGCCTGCTAATATAAAACAAGAAGATATTGAAAAATCTGTTGAAATTTCAAGCAAACTATATGGATTTAGTTTGCTGCGAACAATTTTTACTTTTTCCGCAACCATAATAAACAATAGTCATCGCAATTCCCCACATTAAACCGCACTGATGAAGGCGACGTTTCTTATTAAAGACGTAAAATGTTCTTTTAATTCCGTTGCAACACTTGTGGACTATATCGTTTCGGATGAAGTCGACCCGAATAAGCGAAGTTATCAATATAAATCAAAATTTATACTTAAATTGGTTTCGAGGGCGATTTTCGATGACATCTTTTTTGCGAATAGTAGAAACCCGCGCGTGTCAGACTTCACCCAGCCTCGCCACAATACAAAAGTTCTTGTAGATTTTCCGACAAAGATTGTATACTTAATAGTTAGTAATTATATGTCAAATTGTGACAGTACAGTACAAGGTTAGGTTTTAATACCCACTATATAGTTTTTTGTAAATGAAACACTAATATTGGTGACGGCACTTAACTAATCTAGATGTTTAAGAATACTTTTACTTAGTGAATAGTGATGTAGCGCTTAAATTTAAGGTTGCTCGGCTATTCATCAGTGTGGTAGCAAAATAAAAGTTCAAACTGACAGTCCGGATAAACCAAAAGTGGCATATTTCAAAAGAGCGTCAAAATATTAAATAAGTATTGTGAAAGGCAATTCATACAGTACAAAGTAAACACCATCGTTTTCAACAATATTTTTATTACATTCTACGACTGCGTGAATTGCTTTTGAGCAATAAATTTGTAGGTATGATAAGACACATTTGTAAGTGAAATTTGGTATGTCTTTATTTTAGGTAAATTACTATTATTACTGAGATTGGTAGATGTGTAGAAAAATAATTTAAAAGAAAATGTGATCGGGAAAAATCGAAAAGACTGAACACATCTTTAAATTTTATAAGTTTATTTAAACGTGATCGTTTTAAAATATGCCATGATTCAAAAACAAAACAGTCAAAACCACTCAGCACCGATATACAGATAAACTGGGACCAAGAATAAAATACTAATTCATATCCGATATTATCAAAATCAGTATCAAAAGATGTTAATTTGAATTTATAAAAAAATCCAATGGTGCATTTCTTTACATTCGTATATATTTAAAGAAGCTTAACGTATACAGATTTGATTGGATATTCAATTTTTTGACAATATGTTATATATATACAAATTGAAGTGTTTTCGCGCAGAAACCATTTTATAAATTTTTCCAAAAAAAAAATGGTTTATGTGTATATAACATTGTCTCATATAAAATTGTGACTATAAATGCCTTTTAGCGTGAATATTATTATATCAAAGTTGTTGTATTTTACGTGTAAAGGAAAAATATCTGGTGTCAGTCGATGGTATTTTGGACCTTATCGCCGGACCTTTTTCCTAAAATACAACCATTCTTGTTCGTAAATATCTGTGACTCGTAAATTATAATGTTTTAATATAAAGTTAGTGTTTGAACAATTATTGCTTTGTGGGAAATTGTTATTTTCAGAAAATATTTTAAAACCACAAAAATATGAAATATACCAATACACATTGTATATTTATAATGTAATTCTGAAGTATACCAGTATTTATTATACTGTGGACTACATTACAATGTTTAAGTTTGTTTCATTTCATTTACCTAGTTCCAGCCCTCATGTCCAAAGTGTACTTACTATATGATCAAACAATTCGAGATATTATAGTTGAATATTGTACTCTACAATAAATAGTCTCTAGGCTATTGTCTAGTTGTCATGTTAAAACTTAATGACACTTAAAATCAATAACGTTTATAGTGTTGTTAAGTGTAGAAGTGATGGGATGGGGGAGTTTGTATTGAATACTATGATAAAACCTAAACAAAAAAAATATATTTTACTCTTCAAGAAAAGATTTGAAATTCTAATGTTACATAATTTAGATAGCCATATCTTTCTTTGAATTATCATATCTTTCAGAGCAGGGGAAAACCAATGTGGGAATATGCTTTTGGACTCCTTCTGTTGTGGCACAAGAGCCTGAATATAGGTACAAGGCATCATAAAAAATATTAACCATATCATTAACTGAGTGAGCTGATAATAACTCGTTCCAATTTACTTGGCCCAAAGAGTCATTTAACAGTCTTAAATCACTGGACTTAAATCGTAATAAAAATGGGACTGACCTGAGTTAGTATAATCTACACCACCGAATAGAAAACATCAATGGTTGGAATTAATGCATCCTCTCTTCTATGTGCCCTGGTGGTAACATGTGGTCAGGACTGGATCTCAGTGCAATTTGCGATGTTATTCATCTGACCTCCAGACTGGTTCCTGGTGTGTTGCAAATATGTACCCATAGAAACACAAAAATACTATTTTCCAATTAAAAGCCCCATATCCTATATCCTATGCAGAATCGGACCTTACCCACTTTTAGTATAAGATATATCAGTCGAACTAAATCAATTTTTCCGTTATAACCGATATACAAAATGAAAACAGAACTATCAATACACAGTAAATAAACTGCCGTATACATTATAGCTAGATTACTTGGCGGTTCAAGACACTCAAAACGGTTAAAGCAGGCCTGAAAAAAATCAAAATGATAACTGAATAATAATCTTCAGTTGACGAAACATATTAAAGTTACAAATCCATATCGGCACTTCATGTGCTTGCATAATCACATCCAAAACTTAAACAAAAACTGATATTTGGAAACCAGTTTCATTTGACACTAGCGGAGCCGGACGGAGTGAAGTGTTTGATAAAGGAGTGCATGAAAACGTTTATTTTTCTTTTTTTTATTACTTTAAAGTTTCTTGAATACTATACACTTTCTGCGACCGATACGAAACAGCACGAATAAATTCACTGAGTGACATGATAAACGCAGAACACGTGCAGAACCCTCAAAACTGATAAAAATAGGCTATTATCTTGGTTCGGGTTTAAAGGCCGTCGTCGATTGGAATTACTTCCTAACGTTTCGCTAGCACGAGTGGCGAGCTTCTTCAGAGGTCCTTCCATCTCCGATGTTGGACGTAGACTGACGATTTCTCCTGCGCAGGTTGTATTTATGCCGATTGGTGGTGGGCGGGACTTGTTCCGCTTCGGTTGGTCTCGGGATATCGATCGGTACTGCTCGGGCGTTCCTAAGGATCGGGTTCCAGATTTGGTTGAGTCTAAGGATCTTCTCCTTTCGGTTGAAATTGTGTGGGTGTTTTTGTATCTCAATGGCTTCCCTGACTAGTCTGTTGTGATAGCCGTTGACCGATGCTAGTAACTTACAGCTCTCAAAGTGTATCCTGTGTTCCCCGCTGCCCAGTGCGTGTTCAGCTACTGCAAACTTCTCTGTATGTCCTAGCCTGCAGCTTGCTTTATGCTCCTTAAGTCTCGTTCCCATTGATCTCTTGGTAGTCCCGATGTAGACCTTTCCGCATGAACACGGAATGCGGTAGACTCCTGCAGCTGAAAGTGAGCCCCTCTTGTCCTTCGCTGACCTGATGGTCTGCTGGATCTTCTTTGTAGGCTTAAAGATTGTTTTGATGTCGTGTCTTTTCAATACTCTGCCAATCCTGTCGGTGACACTCGGAATATACGGCAGATATGCGTGGGAGGTGGAGGGTCGTTGTTCGGTATCCTGTGATCTTGATGATCTTGAGTTCATTGATCTCTCGATCTCCCTCTTGCTGTAGCCATTTGCCTCGAACGCAGTTTTTAGGTGTTCAAGTTCCATCTGGAGGCTCTCCGGTTCGCAAATCCTTCGGGCTCGTTCTGTCAGGGTTCTGATAACCCCATACTTTTGACTTGGGTGATGGTTGGATAGAGCATGCAGGTATCTGTCCGTATGGGTTGGTTTTCTGTAAACTGTGTGGCCCAGCTTCTTACCTCGCTTCCTCACTAGTACGTCCAAGAATTCAAGTTGTTGGTCATTTTCAGTCTCCATAGTAAACTGGATGCTGGGATGCTGACTGTTGAGATGCTGCAGAAAGTTGTTGAGCTTGTCCATACCATGTTTCCAAATCACGAAGGTGTCATCCACGTACCGGAACCACGTTGCTGGCTTGTACTCTGAGGTCTCGATCGCTTTTTCCTCAAAGTGTTCCATAAATAAGTTGGCTATAACCGGGCTTAGTGGGCTTCCCATTGCCACTCCGTCCACCTGTTCGTAGAAGTTTCCCTTCCACACGAAATAGCTACCGGTCAGACAGACTTCAAAAAGTTTGCAAATATCGACAGGAAATATCCTGTTCACCAGGTCCAAGCAACTCTTCAGAGGTACTTTGGTAAACAGTGAGACGACGTCGAAGCTCACAAGGATGTCGTTTTGTTCAATATTGATGTCTTGAATCTTGCGCACGAAGTCGGTGGAGTCCTTGATGTAACTGGTGCCGTGTCCTACGTGTGGTTGGAGCAGCGATGCCAAGTGTTTAGCCAAGTAATACGTTGGTGATCCGGGTGCGCTAACTATTGGTCTTAACGGGACATCTACTTTGTGTATCTTAGGTAGTCCATAGAGCCTTGGTGGAACAGTCTCCGTCCTCACAATGGGTGTTTTTTCACACACACACACACAATTTCAACCGAAAGGAGGAGACCCTTAGACTCAACCAAATCTGGAACCCGATCCTTAGGAACGCCCGAGCAGTACCGATCGATATCCCGAGACCAACCGAAGCGGAACAAGTCCCGCCCACCACCAATCGGCATAAATACAACCTGCGCAGGAGAAATCGTCAGTCTACGTCCAACATCGGAGATGGAAGGACCTCTGAAGAAGCTCGCCACTCGTGCTAGCGAAACGTTAGGAAGTAATTCCAATCGACGACGGCCTTTAAACCCGAACCAAGATAATAGCTTATCAACGGGCCGCGAAAGCCTTAACCAATTTATCAGACGCCTCTACGGGGAGGAAACATGTAAGCAGTATCAACGACTGGACAAAATAAGGAAGCAAAAAGCGCACTTACTCGCCACTTTAGCGTTTCTGTGCCGCTGCCGGGACACCAACATCATACCAGCATTCCTTAGACAAAAACGAATTCTCCAATCAGTGAAGGCAAACAGGATCTACGTCAGGACTGAGAAAGCTTTTCTCCGGGAAAGAATTCACCACACTCGTCATAGCCTTGCGAAGACGGACGAGGAACTTCTTGGCCTGCACTTGACACTGGGCAACAAGATCGAACAACAGAATTGGGACAGAATGGATGCAATCTCACATTCCAACATGAGGAACGAACTGGACCGCACAAAGGAGCAACAGATAAGGAAGTACGAGAAGTTTGCGAAAAAACAAGCGCCCAAAACAGCAAGCCTAGACAGTGAGCGACTCGTGGTTAATATGACGGACAGAGTACTCACGGAGGTGGAGAGAGCAGTGCTAACCAAAGGAGGGAACTTCGCAATTACTCCCCGTCACATTCCGATTGAAGAGATCATCTCCAGCACGGAAGCAGCCATCAAGAACCTACCGGACCAAAATGCCGAAGAGATACGAATCGAGACAGCCAACATCCTCAGGAAGGCAAAACCACCCAAGACTAACCTGACGAGAAGTGAAGGACTGGCACTGCGTAGCCTGAACACGGATGAGGGTATCATCATACTCCCAGCGGACAAAGGAAACGCAACCGTTCTTCTGAAGACCGAGGAGTACGAAAGGAAGATTGAGGAACTCTTGGACCCGGGAAGCTACAAACCCCTGAAAAAGGATCCGACGCAAGTTAGACTACGTCTTACCAACCGGCTCATCAAGTCATCATCACTGTCAGAAGAAATCAAGAAGCGCGACGGAGACTGTTCCACCAAGGCTCTATGGACTACCTAAGATACACAAAGTAGATGTCCCGTTAAGACCAATAGTTAGCGCACCCGGATCACCAACGTATTACTTGGCTAAACACTTGGCATCGCTGCTCCAACCACACGTAGGACACGGCACCAGTTACATCAAGGACTCCACCGACTTCGTGCGCAAGATTCAAGACATCAATATTGAACAAAACGACATCCTTGTGAGCTTCGACGTCGTCTCACTGTTTACCAAAGTACCTCTGAAGAGTTGCTTGGACCTGGTGAACAGGATATTTCCTGTCGATATTTGCAAACTTTTTGGAGTCTGTCTGACCGGTAGCTATTTCGTGTGGAAGGGAAATTTCTACGAACAGGTGGACGGAGTGGCAATGGGAAGCCCACTAAGCCCGGTTATAGCCAACTTATTTATGGAACACTTTGAGGAAAAAGCGATCGAGACCTCAGAGTACAAGCCAGCAACGTGGTTCCGGTACGTGGATGACACCTTCGTGATTTGGAAACATGGTATGGACAAGCTCAACAACTTTCTGCAGCATCTCAACAGTCAGCATCCCAGCATCCAGTTCACTATGGAGACTGAAAATGACCAACAACTTGCATTCTTGGACGTACTAGTGAGGAAGCGAGGTAAGAAGCTGGGCCACACAGTTTACAGAAAACCAACCCATACGGACAGATACCTGCATGCTCTATCCAACCATCACACAAGTCAAAAGTATGGGGTTATCAGAACCCTGACAGAACGAGCCCGAAGGATTTGAGAACCGGAGAGCCTCCAGATGGAACTTGAACACCTAAAAACTGCGTTCGAGGCAAATGGCTACAGCAAGAGGGAGATCGAGAGATCAATGAACTCAAGATCATCAAGATCACGGGATACCGAACAACGACCCTCCACCTCCCACGCATATCTGCCGTATATTCCGAGTGTCACCGACAGGATTGGCAGAGTATTGAAAAGACACGACATCAAAACAATCTTTAAGCCTACAAAGAAGATCCAGCAGACCATCAGGTCAGCGAAGGACAAGAGGGGCTCACTTTCAGCTGCAGGAGTCTACCGCATTCCGTGTTCATGCGGAAAGGTCTACATCGGGACTACCAAGAGATCAATGGGAACGAGACTTAAGGAGCATAAAGCAAGCTGCAGGCTAGGACATACAGAGAAGTCTGCAGTAGCTGAACACGCACTGGGCAGCGGGGAACACAGGGTACACTTTGAGAGCTGTAAGTTACTAGCATCGGTCAACGGCTATCACAACAGACTAGCCAGGGAAGCCATTGAGATACAAAAACACCCACACAATTTCAACCGAAAGGAGGAGACCCTTAGACTCAACCAAATCTGGAACCCGATCCTTAGGAACGCCCGAGCAGTACCGATCGATATCCCGAGACCAACCGAAGCGGAACAAGTCCCGCCCACCACCAATCGGCATAAATACAACCTGCGCAGGAGAAATCGTCAGTCTACGTCCAACATCGGAGATGGAAGGACCTCTGAAGAAGCTCGCCACTCGTGCTAGCGAAACGTTAGGAAGTAATTCCAATCGACGACGGCCTTTAAACCCGAACCAAGATAATAGCTTATCAACGGGCCGCGAAAGCCTTAACCAATTTATCTGATAAAAATAGTTTTTTACCAAAAACATCTGATTGCTCCCAAACCCGTGTACCAGAAATGCTCGACACGCTGCGCACACCTGATCAATGCATATCTTAAAATTTTAGAGTAAGGACTAGGAAAGAATATACATGTTTTGACAAGTAGTGGGTGAAATGGATAAACCGGGCAAAATTAGTGATGGATTCTAAAAAATTTAGCTTATATTTCGTTTGGTCAGGGAACAGGCGAAAAGAAAAAAATTTATATCTTTACCTGATTTAGAATTCGTGTTTGTCAAACCAGTTAAGTAAATTTTGTTTAATAGCAGATTCTTCCCAATCTCGCTCGGTATTTCTTGAACGCATTATTGTTCCGACCGCAGATCCTAAAAAAAAGATAACGAAAATTTAGGTCATCAATGACCCTCTCCAAAAAATATAGAAGAAGGAAATAAAAACGAAGTAGATACGACAAAAATAATGCCAACAAACGAAATCATTTAATTTGGTGCTAATGGCGGCAATACTGCTGTTGCTGCTGCCAAAACACAACTCTGAGGGAAGTGTTCGTAATTAAAACATTGAAAATAAAAAATAAGATTGAAGAACCCAAACATAAATACTTTAAGAAAACCGAGACTCTAGCAAATTATTATATTACTCCACATGCAATTTTAGACCAAATTAGGAAAATTAAACAACAAACATTTAATTAATTAAACAAGATCCGTTAATCCTAGGATCCGTAAATGAGGTCAAGTAATCAAATGATTAAATCTGGAGTTCGCCCCAGATAATAGAGGAGAATCGAAATGGATGCACCTAAGGCCGTAGTGATAATTTCATAAACAAGCGAAAGATTTTCCGCGCATGGCATTAAATTTCACACGTTATAACACGAACAAACTATCTAAATCGCAACTTGTCGAAATAACGAACTGTCAGCGGGCATGTTAGTAATGTCAGGCTTTATTGGTTGAAAACGAGATTTCAACTGACCGCGCATGCACACATTCCGTATGGCATATTTTTTCATCGTCGCTTCAAAATTATAAAACTAAAGATAACTCAATTTTGTTATACTAATTATAATTAAATTTAAATTTAAGAAATCAATTAACAATGTTCGTACCAAAAATGAACCCGCAACCGTCCGCAACCCGGCAGCTGAATCATTGTTTTTTGATTTGTATCTGTTAAACTAACTAGGGCAAAATTTGACAACTCAGCACGACGATAATCCTTAGTACCCCATTTGTTGCTGACATTTTTCTCTTTTGCCGTAAGATGCAGTGGCACGATAACCATTTTATACTAAATCTTTGGAGCAACTTTTCTAGAATACCAGGCTGGAATCAATATAACGAGTATTTTTGTTATCTTGTTCCTCGAGCCCCAGATTTACTCATTAAATTGTTTGATATCATTTACAGCCTGTATATGAAATCGCTTGCAGTGTGTACGCTTTAGGGTAAGCAGAAACTTTTGTACACTTATAAGTGAAAAATTGGAGTGGTTTCACAGTTTTGGCTTATTTAATGCACTAAAACGACTTTATGCCCTTCCCATTCTGTAGAGAAGTACTGCAGGGACGAACCGAGGAAGGATTAGGATAGTACTGGATATAAAGGGTGTATAATTAATTTAATAAAATGCAAAAATTTTAAAAAATATACAACATACAGATTTATATTGTACCACTGTCACCTAAATAACGGGTTTAACAATATTTTTAAAATTATTTTGGGACTTTTGTATACCTATGAGAACTCATTCCTAACTGCGTATTATCTTTTCCTTGCCTATACCTTTGCTAATATAAATTTACGAACTGCAAGTGACATCCCCTTTTATTGAAATTATAACGCCAAAACCATTTATCTGTGAAAGCACGATAAACGGCATTGTTAACCTTTTAACGGCATCAATTATTGTCTTCAATATTTTAATATATTCTTGTAGTTCGATCGAACGCTGCATACATGAATTCATTTTCTTTTGTTTAAAATGTTTAAATTGAAATATATCGAAAAACAAAAATAACCCAAAATATCCTTGATTTTTCAGTCATATATATTTTTATTTGCAATTGATAGACTAGTAACCGAAGAGAGAGAAAAATTTATACTTCCAAGATGATCTCGCAGTGGCGTAACCGCCAAAACTTGAAAGCGATTTTACTCTAAAACCATTTTTAAAGTTTAAATTTTGGTAAACTAACGATTAACTGCAACTTCTAAGCGACTGATTTTAAAAAATATGGTTTCGTTTGAATGAGCATTTATTTATTGCTCCATCAAACCCATCTTCAGCGCCAAAAACAATCATCTCACCGTGATTCGTCTAATACTTAGCGATACCGCTAGAGCGTGTTTTTAATATTATAATTATTATAATAGCAGAATATTGCAAAACTTTTTAAAACATTAAATGCAACATTTACTTTTTTACCAAACTCAGGGAATTTTATTTAATTTAATTACAGTTAGTGGGGCAGATCTTGCAAAATTTAATTTCGAAAACGAAATTAATTAAATGTTATTGTATTTGTTAACGTTTAAAGGACAAAAAAGATACAACTCGTAACCAGTTCACAAACTCGATAATTTGGTTTAGATTTTGCCCTTGGACGTTGAAATTATTTTTGATTAAAAATAATTCATTTTGACGCAGCTCCAAGACTCACTTTGCTCTGAAATTCACATTTTATTAAAACACCCCTTGTACAAAATTTCGATTTTGTTTACTTGCCGTGTTTTTTGGATGGATTTGTTAGTAATTCTCGCGACTGATTAAAATTATAACTAAATATTGACGTTTTTTTCTTTAAGGGAAACTCGCAAAAAAATACAGACAAACCTATTTTTAAAATTGTATTTCAATCATTAGTAACGATACTAACCACTTACTCTATCAGTCTGTACAGGTCCAAGGAAATATAATACACATACCAATTTACAAAGGGACTCAAATTGTGTTAAATATAACTAAATTGTTAAAAAAGCCACAATCAACTTATCCACAAAATAAACTAACTTAAACACGGACAATCGCAATCAGTAATCCTGTTTCGACTTACATTCTTTCTCACGCTCCTCTGCACGCGCCTTCATTCTAGTAATAAAAGCCGCACCCTTATTTTTTCTGAAGTTCTCATAGGGATCATTCAAATTACAACCGACACCTTTGAATTGATCCTGACGATCACGGACATCACCTCCTGCAATAGGCGCATCTATCCCTTGTTCGTTAGCACCTAAGCCACTTCCGCCCCAACCCATTTTACGCAACATTTGATGACCCTTGTTGGAAGAATCCAACTCTTGCATATCGCCTCGCATAAATGGAGTACCTCCAAAGCCAGGCGGTGAAACAGATCTCCTTGGAGGCGGTGACCTTGACCGTGACCTGGAATAACTTCTTCGCCTTCTATTTTCCCTACTCTCCCGAGACTCTCTAGTCTTTCTTCTTCTAGGACTGCGTGATCTACTCCTTGACCGGGACCTACTTCTCGATCTTCTGTTTCTACTTCGATGCTGTGGAGGAGGAGGAGTAGGTGACTTACTTCTGTATCTCCTCTTTGGTGGTGTGTTCTCCTTTTCTGGCTTCATTATAATTGGTGAAGGTGTTCTTGATTTCTCTCTCACGCCAGCCTTAATCGCATCGTCCTTCTCTTTCTTCGCTACACTCTTTGCTTTGTAATACTCATAAAGTCCTAATTTTTCCCAACCTTCATTATCTCTTGGCCTTTCATGACTTGGAAGAGAATAAAAGGCATCAACTGCTGCAAGGAGACGATCACTGGGAGGTGCTGGTGGTGGTAATCTAATATCTTTTGGGTCCAGTGGCTTATAAACAGTATCCTCCAATTTGACTAAAGGTACCATTAACCCAGCGGGTAAATCATAATAAGGTGCGGTAGGCATCAATTCTTCTAGAAATACTTCATTTTTCGATACAAATCCTGGGGGAGGCTTTGAAAAGTCCGGGAACATACCAGGTGGTGGAAAGTAACCAGGAGGTGGTTGAGTAAATTGTGGTTCAATTCCATTAGATGGGGGATGTTGGGATATATCATGGGGAGGAAGTTGGTTTATAGTATTAGGATTTATTTGAAATTGATCCACAGAGGCAGGAGGAATAGTGTTCAATGGTGCTGGAAGGTTTATTGGTGGTGGTGGAACACTAGGGTTTATTTGGAAAAAATTGTCATTGATGGTCTGACTAGTAATAGTTTGAATTGGAAATGTCTGAGTAGTAGGAGCGGTATTGGTATTAATAGAACTTTTATTTGGATGACTAAGACTTTGAATAGTTTGCTGCAAACTTGCTTGAATAGTTTCAAGGGGAATTATATTTGAATTACTCTGTACTGGCGGTGGTGGAACAGTCTGCTGATGCTGTGATTCTAAATTTTGCTTTTGCTGCTCTAGATCCATTATTTGTTGCATGGCATGGCAAACAAAGGCTTGATGTTGTGCTTGATAATTGTCAAATGTTTGTTTTGTTTGTTCTGCTAAAGCAGCTACTTCCGTGGCATACTTTGCCATTTGATCTGACTGATATTGTTGATAACTTTGGATAGGATTCCTCAACTTATCAAGAGTTTCACTTTTAACGTAATTGGCTTTGGATTCCCACAACTTCAACAATTTATCCAGTTTTAATCTTTGTTCTTCTGTTGCTGCTATACTAGCATTACAAAACATGGGAACTACAACCACCTCTAATGCGTCCTTTAAATCATTAGCATGTTTTCTTGCACTATGATGTAAGAGATCATTAACCAAATATATTATATGTAATTTCTGGGGAAAAGTACTTGACTGCAGGACTTTGTACAATAGAGCTTCCACAATACAGTTTGCCTTTTGCTTATTATCTGCATGTTGAAGAAACCAAGATTTACCATTGCTAATGCTGTCTTTTGTACATGTATCAATTATAGGTTGCAGTATCGCATACAATTCTGATAAAACAATTTCACATTCTTCTGCGTCTTTTTGTAAGTCTGCTGCTTCACACTTGGCAACTGCTGCTTCCACTGATGCCTGTTGCTGTTGCAGTAACACAGTATGTTGAGCTGTCAAATTATGTTCACTTTGTTTTATTTGCTCGCGTAGGGCATCTTGTTGCTGCGTTATATGCTCAGTTTCCGCATTTTGTGGTGGTTCAACAACAGGAGCCTGTGCATTCCAGTCGCTACCTTGCTCGGTGCCCATCAAATGCTGAGAATGTTGCTGCTGTTTAAAAATCGCTTGCTCTGTGGTTACTTTGTACTGATAGTAATTGAAGTATTCTCCGCCGTACAAAAATTGAAATTTCGGATTACCCTTTTGTTTATTTTTGGTCATCTGTTCAAATTCGGGCCCATTTCTAGCGACAAATTGAGCAAGTTTATCAATAATATTCCTTAACTCTGTGTCTTGTGGCGGCGGAGGCAAATCCATTTTATATTATTTAACGTGTAATTTAATTCACAAAATAGGTAAAGTTCCACATTACCGTAATTTTTAATATTATAACATAACCCATTTTCTTACACGCTGTCACAGATTACAAGCGGTTAGCGGGTTGCTTAGAATACAAATTGATTGTATTCAGTTGCGCAATCGTACGCGAAAGCGCGGTTTTCGAATTCATTCGTTTTGTTGTTGATATTTAAAATCTTTCAAGAGGACTGCTCCAGAATTTATAACCCGTTGTAAAATTAAATCCAAATGCAGTGCGCGTTGCATCAGAAAATAAAGTTTAATATAAATAAAGTTATAAAATTATGAAAAACCCGCTTTTATTGTAGCCATCCCATTACAATACTGTAAATAAATAAACTAAATTTTTTTAAAGAAAATATTTCTGATTAAATTTTAGTGTCTTTTCAAACTTTATTTTTGAAACAACTTAGATGTTTGAAAACTTTGTATTATTACACAGAATTTTCTGATTTAAAACTGTAATTATTAGTATACAGATCAATTTTTCGTTTAAAAAACAGTGTAAGATAATTTAGTATTTGGGCTTGACAATCGCCCAACAAATTATTTTTTTACCATTATCTACAGAAATGGCAATGAGTGAATGACTCTGGTGCATGTCAAGCATTTAAGTTCCTAAAGAAGAAGAGAAGAAGAATTGCGTCACAGAATACTCTGTGACTACTCCTACTGCCCAGTACATACGGTGATTTCGTTTCCTTAATCGATTCATTCAGTTATACATACATTTGGGTGCGCAAAAGTAAACAAATTTTAATTATGCCGTCGCTTTACTGCAGCGTTGATGGCTGCCTTACAAAACGAAATAGCGGTTTATCGTTTTTTCGGTGTCCAAAGGATGATAGGTATGACGGTTATGGGATCACTTGATTCATTTTTAAAGAAATATTTGAGTAGTAAAAACCGCGGTTCACCTTTCTACTCCAGTAGATTGTCCTTAAAATCAGATGTCATTGATAACCAGATGCGACCGCTAAAATTGGCTTCATTAAAAACTTGTTATAATTCCATCCCCACTATTGTTTACATTGTTATTGTTTTTTGTTGGTGTTTTTAGCCGGTCTTTTATTATATTTATTGTATGTTTTGTTATAAAATAAAAAATATATATATTATTAAATGAGTTCCCAATTGGACCTCTGTTTTCAGCTGATCTATATAGGGTGGTCGTAAAACCCTTAATTTCAGAGGTTCAGGGTGTTGAAATTTTGCCAAAAAGACATATTTTTTCCAATTTTTAAAAAATCTATATTTTTTCAAACTTCTTAGGTAGTCTTGCCACCTTAAAACAAATTTATATGCACTTATGGTTAACCGGTGGTGTTCGTCATGCCGTTTTACTTAATTTAAATAATAAAAAAAATTGTTTGCCAATAATTTATCGCAATTTGGTAAATAAATTTAGATACTCTAATCAATTCTAAACAAAATGGTCTAAAAAAAACGATTTTTTCGCAATATTTAAACACCCTGTATCTCCAAAATTAAACATTTTACATATGGACCTTATTACTTATTTTTATTTACTAAATACGCTGTTAAAGTTTTTGCATTATATCATATATAATTATAACAACATTAAGATCTTGATAAAGCAACCCTATTTCTGGTTAAAATTGCTTTAGACTTGCAAGGTCAATCGATTAAAAACGAAAGTTGAACCACGAATTTTTGTAATTGTTCTTAAAAATCAAATTAACTCTTGCTTAACTTGTCGCTTTTTTTATTTTACTAAATTGTGTGTTTATATATAAAAACACATTTTACCAAATATGAACCCTTAAATCGGAATACTTCACAATAAATAATTAAAGTTGGAATTGCCGCGGGGCATATTCAAACAAAACAAAATGCGCGGCAGCCGGTGTGACGTCACATCGCAGGAAAGTACACTGCACGTTACGAGTATAACAGCCATTTCAAGCATTTCTCATTGATTTCTTACCAAGTTTGCATCGTTAACCCCGGTTTTTGAGTGTTTAATGTTTAATTTTTGGATTATGGAAACTACTCGTTATAAATACTGTATAGTTCCTTTGTGTACGAGTTCAACTGTGAAAAATCCAGATAAAATTTTCATTCGGGTTCCGGAAGATAAAAAGCGACGAACAAAATGGCTAAAAGCATGCAGAAGAGGTGTAGGGGATTATTCTACGAAGACCACAGACATTCACGTTTGCGAAGATCATTTCAATGTAAGTATAAATACCTGTTTATAATTTGATTAATGTTTATAATTAGGGTTAAGTAAACTTGTTACTTTACCAGCAGAGCTTACAATATTTCTTCTATTAGATACACACTTACTTAAATATAAAAAATATCTAGATACTAATTTTATTAAGATCTATCTAGTAAAAGTATTATTTAGGTACTTAATATTTTTTTTGTTTCAGATTGCGGAAGATATGGATAATTATTTAAAGTTTAAACTAATGGGTGGTAAAAAAATGATGAAACCTAATGTAGTTCCTCACATATTCAATTGCCAGCCAGACAGAAAAAGAACATTTTCAGTTCCTGCTAGAGCAGCAGCTGTTAAAAGGGCAAATAGAAGACTTGTTGATGAAGCAGTAGCTTCCTGTTCTACTACGACAGTACCTATGTGTGTATAAATCATATTAAATCACCACTGGTGTTTATAGAGCTCATTCTAAACAGTGTTCTATTTAAATACTTAATATACTAATTTTATTATTAGTGGGGTTATGCAAGATTTTGACATTTAGTAGGCTTTATTACTTAAATGATATAAAGGTGAGTTTATATAGAATTTAATTCAATTTAACTTATGATTTAATTTTTTTTTTTGCGCGTAGCAGAAAACTGAAGCATTTTAATATCAATGTAGACATAATTTGCATAAAATAATAAAGTGACAGTAATATTTAAATTGTTGAGCTGATAAAAGAGGGGGTAAAAATTATATTAAATTTAATTTAACCAAAAAGTTAAAAGTTATTCAACTTTAAAATAAATTACAACTTAAATTAAATTTTTGTATAAACGCCTCTGTTAAATTTTAACTTTTTCAATTAAATTAAATGTTAAATTAACTTTTTGTACCTATAAACTCACCTTAAGAATGGCGGTACATTACTATTTATATTTACTTCCTAGCTCTTACGCCACAAACTTCAATTTGAGAAAAATCTTCGGAATTTTTAATTAACATTTCTCCGAAAATAACTAAATACCACGTTCTATTAACGAGTATTGATTATTTCACGTGTTATTTCAATATCTGTATACCTGCGCGTAGATCGCAATTCAACGGTCTGACGTCACAACCAATGGCAGCGCGTTTTAAGAGCAAACTTTATTAAAGTTTTAAACCTTTGTTTTTTAGCTAATCTAATTGTGATTGGAATTTTTATTTTTATGGGAACTTCCTTTTGATAATATCTTAAGATTTTAATTGTTTTTAAATGATTTTATTTTTTGAGCCAGTTCCCTATTGTTGCTAGGTGCTCACTTTGGAAAGAGCAATTGGGATTTACCGGTGCGCATCCAAATGCAAATCTCACTCCAGAACAATGTTACAGCCGACTTAACGTTTGCAGTATCCATTTTACGGATGGAAGTTTTACTACACCTCACAAGCACCGTCTTGTTTCTAATGCAGTTCCTACATTATTTTTGTCAAGAATTGCTAAAAGTAAGTATCATTAGTTAATCCAAAGTCCAGGAGGATTGTTTAAATGTTTTTGGGTCATTTATTCTACATTATACTAACTAAAAATACCTGCGACTTAATTCGTTACATTCGCAGGAACAATTGCCGTAAAGGCTGAAGGACCAGACGCAGAAATGACAGACATTCGGAAAATTCAGACAGATACGTGTGAATTATTATATATGCAAAAGGATGCAGAAACTCAGACTGACATAGGTAATGAAATAGGTAAGCGTAAGGGATCATTCTGGTATTCTACTTAATTCTATTCTGCAGCAGGATCATTTAACATAGAGGCTGAAGAATTAGACGTAGAAATGAAAGACATTAAGGAAATCCAAAGAGTTAACGAAATAAGTAAGTGGAAAGCCTTTAACAAAAAATTCACCTGAATGATTCGGTTACTTTCCAGAAACATTCGGTGTAAACATAAAAGTGGAAGAACTAGATGTCAAGACTGAAGAAGTGGATACAGAACAGAGCAACATTCAGACAACTCAAACAGAAGCAGCAGCATCGTATGAACAAAAGGATTCAGAAACTCAGACTAACATTGTTTTTCAAAGAAGTAAGGATTATTTTCATATAATGTGAAGAATATTGTAGGAAACTGCAAGTAATACTGAATTGGTTATTAATAATATTTTAGACGAATCTTGCCAAACGTCTGAACGGCTTTTGTTAAGAAGTCCGAGAGAATTGTCGTTGAGAAGCGAAATTAGGGAACTTAAGAAAGAACTGTCCAAAAACAAAAAACGGCTTGGAGCTGGAATCACTTTGGACGATGTTGTAAAGTTTTTCCATGACAATTATCCCACAGAATCATATAACTTTTTAAAAGCTCAATTGCATTTTCTAAATAAAGCCCCTAAAGGTTGTAGATATAATGATGAGTATAAACAGTTTTCCTTAAGCCTGTACTTTTTCGATCCGAAATCTTATGAAAAATTAGCCTCGATATGTCGATTGCCTTCTAAATCCACTTTGGAGCGATTTACGCAATGCTGGACGATAAATCCAGGTTTTAATGATTTCCTCTTTGAGTTAATTAATTTACGAATTCGTTTATTGCAAGGTAGGGCCAGGGACTGCATTTTATGCATCGATGAAATATGCCTAAAGTCCAGTTTGTATTACCACATATCCAATGACAAAATTGTGGGGTTTCAGGAGAGTTTTATTGAAAAATCGGCCGATATTGCCAGAAAGGCTTTAATAGTTAGGGCCAGAGGGATTGCCAACAGTTGGAAACAACCCGTAGCTTATTTTTTTTATAATACGTCGCCATCGTCTGAGGAACTAAAAAGTATGTTATTTGAAGCGGTAAGAAAATTAAACGCAATCGGCTTAAACGTTTTGGGAGTAGTGTCTGATCAGGGCTCTAATTTTTATAAGTTGGTTGTAACTGATTTAAAATTGACGGAGGAGAACCCGTGTTTTCTAGTTGACACTAAGGAGCTTGTTTACATGTTCGATGTTCCATATTTGTTAAATTCGACAAGAAATAATTTCTTTAAGCATAAATTTTTAACAGACTCAGGTGTAACAAACAAAAGTTATTTAGAAAGAATGTACAATTTCGATAAATTAAAACAATATAGGCTTGTTCCAAAATTAACGAATGATCACGTTTTTCCCAAAGGTTTTCAAAAAAAGGATGTGAAATTGGCCACCCAAATATTCAGTCATTCCGTGGCTACCGCTATGCAAACTTATATCGATTTTGGTATATTACCGAAGGGAGCTAAAGCTACGGCCGAATTTATCGAAAAAATCAACACTTTTTTTGATATATTAAATATAGACAATCTATCTAACCACGAGGCCTTTATGTCGACCGACAAACAAACTATATTTCTACAGGAAATGGACGACTTATTTAAACATTTAAGAGTCGAAACGGTGAACGGGAAGAATATTACAATGAAATTGAAATTCATTTTCGGTTGGAGACTTACGTTAAGCGCGATCAAGGTTTTATTTAAAACTTTACAAAATAACGGATGCGATCGCTTATTTACGAGAAATCTCCAACGAGATTGTCCGCGAAATTTTTTCGGCCAAATTCAAAACTCTTCCGGGAATGCAAAAAACCCAACTCCCATACAGTTTTGCAGGGCATTTAAAAAGCTGTCCTTGCGATACTTTGATGAAATCGGTGGCACCAATTGTAAGAACGATATTAACGAGGTGTTGCTTCATGTGAATCCAAAACTTCTGGAAGAATGTAACAAAGTATTGTTAATACCCAGACAAACTTATAATCCACTTAGAGTGTTATCAGAAGAGTATAGAAATCTCAAATGGCCGGAATGCAATGCTCTTGACCGTATAACTGATTACATTTTAAAACAATGTTTAATCCAGCATACTTGTGAAATATGTATTAACTTCAGTAACTCTGTTACAGATACTCAATCTACGTCGGGGGGGTTAGCGCTTCCGTTTTCGAATATAAAGGAATATGTGTGTATGTTGGAGGACTTATTTACTAGAAAATTTAACGAGTTAGCATACGGCGAAAACGTTGGTCAAATGTTAAAACGTTATTTCAGCGCATTTCATTTTAATCATCCTTGCCAAAGTTTTCCTCTGAATTATTTTATATCGTTATACACAAGAGTCAGAATTTATCTTTCATTGAAATTTGCCAATAAAGATTTAAAAATTTGTAGAACAAACAAACAACATTTGAAACTGTCCATATTAAAACACGTATAAAATTTAATGTTTTATTCTTTAATCCTATATTTTAAATATGGACACCTGAGGACGTGATGGAGCCCGTGAGGTATTGCCTGCATACCTTACTTTCAAGTTAAAAATAAGTTTTAGACCCATGATGATGGTTTATCGATTGGTTTCACATTCTGTAAAGTAATAGCAAATATATACGTGGAATGGTTTGAAACCCATGCCATAAATACTGCGATCGTCAGCTGGGCAGCTGGACTCCGTTTCCATCATCCCAATTAGTCATTAATTGGGGTATTAAATTTACCGTTGAGAAAGAGGGGAGATATTTTCTGCAGTTTGCTTAATTATGTGTATATTGAAAACCAACACATCCCTACAGGACAGGTAACCATTGTCGAGCAAGGAAGTTTGGAATGCTTACAATATTATGAAAAAAAAGCAATAAAACAGATTTACTCCGGAATGATTATACCGAGAAATTTCTCAATATAAATATATAAATAAATATTTACAGATGAACAGAACGATGAACGGAATTTGTTGAGGTTAAACTTTATGCCTTACAGCTGTTCGAAAAATTGTATAAATAAGTCAAATAAAGACAAGAAAAGGTCGAAGTTATGCTCGTTTCCAATAATTTGTTTATCACAAAATTTGTGACTATTGCCATGTAGGTAACACTCCCTACAACTGTTATATATATAATTATAGATATGGAGATCGAGGTAGTATAGGGTGTTATTTACATTTAACAGTGTGTCAGAGTTTAATTCTTCTGTACATTTTCCTAAATAATGCCGATTTCAGTACGAAAATTGAGAAATTTGTATTTGTTCTTAATTTAGTTCTTACTGGTACGGGGCGCTAACTGCATGTCTCGCACTTTCGAAAGCTCATTACTTTTTGTACGACCATGTATTGCATTTTTTTGTTAAGAAAAAGAAATTCCTTAATCATTTTTACGTAAAAAAAGGTTCTTGTAGTAAAACTTGCTAGGAGAAACTGTTTTTGTAACATTTTTTGTTTTATAAACAGATACACAATTCTAATTAGAAAACATAGGCTGTAACGTTGGTTCTACAATGCATTTGTTTGTTGTGATGTTAGAAATGCAATCATAAATCAATGTTGACGTACACTGGAGTGGCGCTATTTTTAATGAAAACAATCTTATATTAATTACCTACCATGTACTCAACTATAATTCCACATTTTGTTATGTTTGTATTCTTTTCATAAAACAGATAAAACATTGTAGAATATACTTACTTTCAGAAGTTATCACTATTTAGAAAATTATATAGAAAAACCAACTATAAAAATGATATTTTGTATCTGGAAAACAAAAAAAAAAGCACGTTTATAATTTTTTACCGTAAACATATCATGTGAAATATTAAATAATACGCGGTATATTCAGAACTAACTTTTTTAAGTTATATATCTATATCTAGTAAATAATTATGGAAAGAAACTGGAACAAGGGGATTCGGATTTTACTTACTATTTAGACTTGAATTATAAAGTTTAATGCTGATCGAAAAAAATTCATAAAATTCCAGAATAAAATGGAATAGATTGCCAGGAAAATGACGTATCATTATAAAAACTGCCAATGGGCAATTTATCTGAAAAAGTTGATACAAAGTGTTTTAAAAAACATGTACCATCGCTGGGGGATTCTGCTTTGTTTCATAGCTACAGGGTCTTAAAGAATTTATATTGTTTGATTTACTCCAAATTTATCCAGGACGCCTGTAGCAATTCCAATAAAATGTGAAATGTAGAAGTTATTTAAACTAGTACATATTATTATACTACAAGTAAGTTGGACAATTTGATCAATGCCGTGCTATACTTTTCTAAAACAAACCTGAACTAATACAGATAAATAAAGGTGCATTTATCTCATTGAAGAGATCGAAATCGACAAATGTCAGTGGCGTGCAGTTTTTTTTAATAGTGCACGGCTGTAGTCCAAGTTGTCCAAATTCTTTGTAGTAAAATATGTATTAGTTTAAATAACTTTTATCCTGCAAATTTGATTGGAATTGCTTCAATCGTTTTGTATAAATTAGGGATAAATCAAAAAATATAAATTTTTTAAGACCCTGTAGCTACGAAACGAAGCAGAATCTGGGCCACGTTCATATAAAGTTTTATTTTTACGTGAGGAATCTCTCCTTCAACGATGGTACACGTTTTTTGAAACACCCTGTATAAGTACACCAATTCTTATGTTTCATATGGTTGCAGTAATGTGGTATAAAAAGTTTACTTTTTGAGTAAATTTGCATATTGGACCTATTGGCATATTACATTGTCTGTTTTTTTTTATAAATATAAATAAGACGAGTACGTTTATAAGTAAAGTATTTTCATGTAATAACGAAAAATTGTTAATTTGAGTGTATCAGTTGTATGACAGGATAATGTATATTTGTGCGTATTATTTAAAAATAAAAAGTAAATCAGTATTTTGGTATTCTTAGTTTTGAATTAGTTTTCACAAAAGTTAGAACAAAATAACACAATATAATAAAATCTATACCAAACTTTTTACTTTTTACATGTGACTAGGCACATGAGATAAAAGATGCTTCCGAAAGATTTGTCAGGGTTTGCCGAGGTCTTCGCATATTCCTCAAGGGTTTGTAAGTTCGCACAAGTTTTGTTGGACACAATATATTTTCTTTACATTTAATATAACATATATAACTCATGTTAATTAATGTTATTTTTATTATTTAATTGCATGGTGCTACTGTAGATAAGTTTCATGGACATATGTTTTGGTTTAGTTTTTTTTTTTACCCCATAACAATAGTATATTATGCAACAAGTGTAGTAAACGGCATTTGGGTCACGAGTGTTTAATAAACGAGTGACTTAAAAAGTTTAACAAACGTTGCATATTATATTTTTCTATAACCTTTAGCTGTTGGGTATATTTTTGCAATATACGATTACATTCATTGACATAACCTTCAAAATTGACAAATGTCAAAATTCAAGCCGTGCTGTAATATCTTCGAAAACATCAGATTGCTCCCAAACCCCTACTATAATACTCCGGAAATGTCCGAAGTAGCTTCGTGGAAAACGAAACTAACACGGTAAAATGACACTTTCCGCTCGCTGGATAGCTGTATTTTAGGTATTTTACAGAAGGGAGTAGGAAAATAGTATTACAGTAGCCTGTGGAAGTTTCTTTGGAAGAAAGGCTATTTAATGTTGGTTATTATTTAATTGTCTGGTACTGCTGTAGATAAGTTTCATGGACATATTTTGGTTCAGAATACGTTTAAAACCTGACGACAACAGTATATTATGTGACAAGTGTGGTAAACGGCATTTGGAACACGAGCGACTTAAAAAGTTTACCAAACGTATTGCATACTGTACTTTTTATACGACCGTTAATTTTCGGGTACATTTTTGCAAACCAGCGAATATCATTGGATTGGATCAACTTTTGAGTAATTTAGGTAGCTGGGCTGTAGTGTCAATTGATAACTTCTTAATTGAGTAGTTAAATTCGATCAAAATGTCTTAAATAACTTCTAGCAATTGTAGGGTGTTTCCTATCATTATTTAATAATAATGTGTAGTTTCAATTGACCAAATTCGATAAAAATCTTTTAAGTAACATCTTGCAAATGTAGAGTATTATCTATCATTAGTTTATTTCCAATTTACTCCTAACCCTCTTCAAGAAATTCTCGAATAGAATACATAGGATTAATTTACACAAAAAAAAATGACCACAACTCTAGCTGCCTGTCCCATATGGAGAAAAACGAATATTATTATGCACTGTTTATAATGGGAAAAAAATTACTTATTATAACAAGTTATTTTTTTATATTTTATCACAGACATTTGAAAACAAATTTATCAACTATCTAAAAATAAGCTAGTCTATTGAAAGGACATTTTTTAGCTTATTCACAGCAGACGGCAGAACACCATGGCCCGCAAATTAGTGTTAACACTTTTTCGTTTGAAAAGTCATGAAGACATATAAAAGAGTAATAGTTTTCTACATCTGTAGCGGTAAGCTGTTTGTACTTGTTCCAACCACACCCATGTATTTTGTTGTCATCTGCAAATTAAAAATACAGCTAAACAGGATTTAATAGTGAAAAGTAAATGATTTTTTTTTAAATCTACTTGTAATATATCACAAATAACTTAGTTAGCCATAGCTACAAGTTTTTTTCAACTTCGAACAGTTATTAGTTAATCCGGTACACACATATCTTGCAGATATGCAATGGAAATCCAAAATCCCAAAAGAAAAAGCCATGGAGATGTTAACGTTTGAAGTGCCCAATAAATTCCAATTTATTAATTATATTAATTTTGTATTCTCTGAAACTAATTTCTGTGCAATTCTTCATTTGGAGGTAATTTAGGTTACATTTAAATAAAGTTTTTATAATAACTTTTTATTTTTCTGCCAACTTGCAATACCTACAGTTTTTTTTAATAAATTGTCAATTGGCATTTTTTACAATAATATGTGGGAGACAAAATCTTCATCTAAAATCACCTCCCTTTCGGAGAAAGAATGAGCGTTTTGTCTAGGAGGCTTCATATTTTATAAAAAAATATAACAAAAGCCATATCTTTAAGGATTTCCTCATTTTTTTATTTTTTTATTTTTTCTATTGCTCCCAGAGTCTTGAACTAAATAGTTTACTTTATAAAAGTATTTATACCAAATATTATATGCACTTTTAATAGTCATCTCTCATAATTTCAAATGTACATAACCTAAACCTATAAGTTTATGAAAATAAACACCTGGCGCCGAAAAAACGAATACTTTTATTTGCCAAATTTGGTAGCAGACACTTTGCAATATCAACATTAAAAAATACATGTAGAAATTTCGGTTTATAGACCTTTTGGAAACTTTCGTTGACTACCTTAAAAATTAATAACTATTATACTCCTATAAGTTTAAAAATTTTGGGAATGCATTTTGTTAATTCATACAGTTTGCCTACTACAGAAGAAGAAAATTTTCACCAAATGTTTTCTATATGTACCTAAATTTCATTTATTTGAAAATTATGTTTAAGTACCCACCATAAATTTTTCAGCCCATATTGCTTTTTAAGCTCTATGGTACTATTTTTTCTAAAAACAAAATTTGTTTTCCTATCCTATGCTTTATAAACTGTCTTAGTTATAAAATAAACGTATTATTTAGTGTTGATGCATTTTTGAGAAAAATTATTTATACATTACCAAGTAATGCTATGGTATGTCGACTCCCGCAAGCAACTTTCAAGACATTGGGTTCGGAACCTCCATGATTGATATGAACTACTGTTGGTGTAGCCATAACAGACATAAATGTTTGACTATTGGGATCAGAAAACAGTCCAAGCTGCCCATTACCATTCCAGCCCCAGCAGTACAAGTCTCCATCAACACTCAATGCAAAAGAGTGCCACCCTCCAACTGCAATATTTTTGATTTTTATGCCCGCCAATGCATTAATTAATTTAGGAGACTTTTCATCATCTAAGGTCCCATGACCAAGTTGACCTCGACTGAAAAATAAAATTGTTAGCTTTTTTTTGTAACTAGTAAATAGATATATGTAGTGGGAAAATTTGTGTTACATATATAAATAAATATATTTCTACTACCTTCCTCTGCCAAATGAATAAACATTACCATAATCATCTAGAAGTATGCAATGTTCTCTTCCAGTTTTAAGAACTTTAATATTTTGGTTCCGAAAATCCAGTTGTTCAGATATGGTATATATATTTCCAAGCTCTGTGACAGCCACTGTCATTGTTTCACCCACACTTATAAGTTTTATTTTATCCTCATCATTCCAAAACTTTGGTATTTCAGTAATCAACTGAGGTTCATCTACTGCTATTTTTAACATTTTGCCCTCACTGTTTAACAATACAATGAAGTTGTCATTACATGAAACATTTAGTATATTTTCTAATTTTTTGCTGTCCAAATATTTTGGCATTGCTTTTCCATAAAATCTCAAAAGGTTGTTACTGTAAATTAATGAAAATGTGTGACCTATCTTAAAACAACTTTCCGCATCATTTATTTTGATGGAGGGGCTGAAGTTGTTTAGCACATGTTCCCTTGAATTTAATTGATTGTACAGATTAAAACCCCTGACAAATACCTTCATGATATTGATTAGTTACGTTAGTTGCTAGTTTGTTCTGTTTGTATGTGGTAGGCTGTGTCCAACAGCAGAAGGAACTTTTCTATATAACTTACTACTGCCTTTCAGATCTCCCTAATTAGGTATAACGGCAGATACTAAAAATGGTAAGCATTTAATTATTTTAGTTGGATACCAATAATGAAAACGACAATAACTAGATTCTTAGCGTAATTAACCCAAAAGAATGCAATATATTTTTTGTTGACAACAAGTTACTATAGTTACAAATAAAAACATTAATACCATGGTGCAGAAGAATTGATGTTTGATTTATAGGTTAGATTCTAAATCTCATATATTTGAAATGTAAATCAAACGCAACCCGGATTTTAAATTTCAAACAATTTCCAGGGACTTTTAGCAATATTAAGAAAACTGACTTCAACCCCCGAAAGAGAATTAAGATTATTGTTGTTGGGTCTAGATAATGCTGGGAAAACAACAATTCTCAAAATATTGGCATCCGAAGATATTACAAATATTACGCCTACAGCTGGATTTAATATCAAATCGGTCATAAGCGATGGCTTTAAACTTAATGTTTGGGATATTGGTGGTCAGCGGAAAATACGACCGTATTGGAAAAATTATTTCGAAAATACGGATGTATTGGTAAATATTATTTTTAACTAGGGATAATGTAACCGATAGTTATATCTAATTTAACGCAAAATGTCTAATCCTAATCCATAGTTGAAATGCGTCATTATAATCGTATGGATGTCCTATCATATTCCGAAATGGCTGTATAAATTTTTATAACTGGCACCTCTCAAAATATTAAAATAATAAATATATATATTTTTTACACTGCAGCGATCGTAAATTTACATATATCGGGTATCAGTTCAAGCGTGAATGTTTAGTATGCAGTTTACTCAAAGTATTGCATTTTGCTACCGCATTTTGCGCAAAAATAACGAACTATATGGAGGCGTTATGCTAATAATAAAAAAAATTTTAACCCACCATTAAAAAAATGTTAGGAAAGATTATTGAAATGCGCACGTGCGGTCATTTTAGCTCTTGCATTCAACCACTAGACGGCATTCAATAACGAACATGGCCTCTAACAGTATGTCAGTTGTCAATTGGCAAATTTTAGTTCAGGATATGGCATTTTAATATAGTATTTTCGCGATATATGCTCAGATCCTGTTAAAAGTTCAGGGAAAAACGGGTAGAGTGTGTTTGAAACAGAAAAGGCGTAAACAAACATTTTTTAGACACATTTTTCAATGTATTCAAAAATCGCCTATTTTGTTAAACATTTCTTATGGAAAATGTCAATTGAGACCTGTAAAGGGAAGGAAATGTTTAAAAACTTTAGTAAATTGATTTATTTATTATTTTTGATGCGCAGACTATCGGCAGGATCAAAACTAACCAAAACTCATTAATAACAAATGTTTCCATTTGATGGAGACTTTACAGGACGTATTGCGAGAACTGAAATGTTGGTGATTGGTGATTTTAACATTTGACTCTGTTAAATATTTCTTACATTCTTTCAGATCTACGTCGTGGATTCGGCCGATAAAAAACGACTTGAGGAAACCGGAATAGAATTATATGAATTGCTAAGCGATGATAAATTAAAAAATGTTCCTGTCTTAGTATATGCTAATAAACAAGACCTTCCAGAATCACTGTCCGCCTCCGACCTTGCACAAACATTAGGATTGCCCTCCATTAAGGACAGAGCATGGCAAATTCAGGCCTGCTCTGCGTTACAAGCCACAGGCGTACGTGAGGGTATGGAGTGGGTCTGCAAAAGCATTAAGAAGAAATAGATAGAAATAGAAATATGTCTGATGCTGTTGTCATGTTATATAGTCATCGGAAAATTTTGCTACCAATTTGTACGACCTTTATCATTTTTAGAACGATGTAGGTAATAATTAAATAAGAATTGTTTATACCAATTATTAGACAAATAATTATAACGTCGCAATTCCAATTTGCTTAAATATAAATATTGTTGAAAATATTGCTGTATGCATTTTTTTTTTCGTTTGCATCAGGGAAGCAACCCGCTAACATTAATTATGCAATTCCGTTCTCTACGTGACGTTGGACCTAGGAATAGATTATTATTTCCATTTCATTATAATTTTCGGCCGGCTCGACAAAGATAGAGAGCACAGAATACCATAGTTGGTGTTCATTAGGTAATTTTTTTTCTTGTGAATATTAAAACACGATATCCATACCAGAATGTGATTAACAAACTACTGCTACACGAGCGAGAAGTTTGACACGCCATACGTAGTGGAGTATTTTGTTGCTCGCCGAGCAGGTAGGTGGAACTGTGCACTTTCTTTCGCTAGCGCAAGTTTGTATTTTTGCTCGGTTGTAAAAAAAAATCATTGATTTCATATGTCATAAATATTTTACCTATAGAGGACCCAATTAATCGCCTAGGTCCAAGAACGATAACCCAAGGAGGAGTGTTACATCAGGGGCTTATTGGTGTATTGACTTCGTCTATCTCTCTCGAACCAAACACGAGAATGTACTTTTCTCGCATTACCGTCCAAGTGTATCGTAAATGTTGTGGAGAATACTTTATCTCCCTCGTTGGAAATAAATTGAAAAATCTCGATAGATCACGGTAATGGGCGATTGACCATGGTCAATTGACCCAACTGACAACGCAAAAAAAGAAGTGTTTGCATGTAACGGTCATGTCATATGTTGATTTTTAAATATTTAAAAGGTTTGTAAAATTAACTTCAAATAACTAACGAAACTGTTTTTTATTTTTTTTATGATTTAGTTTTATTTTAATTTTAGGTTACTGTTTTAAAATGGATGATTTAAGGACAATCTTTCAAAAAACCAAAGAAGGAGATTTTAAGGTGTCTTTGCGAATGCTCGGAAAAGTCCAGTTAACTCAGGATAGCGCTGTTAAAATTTTTGTTTTTGCATCACATTCCTGTTGCGATTGTATAAAACTTTCCAAGAAATTGGATGATGGAAACTTGTACACTATTTTAGTCACCATTGTGAAATATATTACTCTTCCTGACGACATGCAGTTGCTTCAGTATATGCAATCACTCTTCCACATACTGAAGTATTACATTCAACAGGTATGTCCTAGATTATTACGCTATAAATATTGTATTGAATTCAATCTGCAAATTTTTATATAGACACAATGTAGTTTTGGTTAGTTGTAATGTAGTTTTTGCTTTTTGGATCCTTGAATGCTGCAGCCAGATATAAAAAAAATAGGAAAGGGATGTATTAACATTATAAAACTTCTGTCACATAGTGTCGAAAGGAAAAGACTAATAGGAGATAATCTCAGAAACCATGCGAATACTCTTATGTAAATAACATTTTAATGAGGTTTGGGAAAAAATATTATGCAAACTCAAGGTGATACTGATTCTAAATTTTATTATCTACAGTATTTCTAATTAAATCTGAATTATACAATCATAAGATTTATTGAGCTATATAAAAGGTTTGTTGAAATTTGTGAATTGTTTATTGGAAAGTATCTTCATTTTTGAAAAGTATATTATCCATCTAATAGTTTTATAAATTTCTCTTAGCATTGACAATATGCTCCTACAGATAAACATTTAATCTAGGATGTGCTGACCTATCTCCTTGTAGTACTGTGTTTCCTATATGGTATCAACTCAATTGGACACAGTGTATAATGAATATGTTTCATTATTCAAAAATCTTTAGTAGATGATAAATAGGTCTTTCTGAATTTGGTATATAGTATTTTAGAATTTGTATACTTTACTTTGTTGTTGTTATATTGATATATTTATTTTAGGAAAATTTAGAATTGTTAAGCTCCATGGAATCAATAGTTATTCCAACATTTTTGTATGACATCCATTTGTCATTAAACGAGAAAGCTGCATTTACATATGAGCAAATTACAAATATCCTATTAAATTATTTTATAAACTATGGAAAAAAAGGAACTACAGAATATAGTGTACAATTGATAGAATTACATAAGGTGATTATAAAAGGATGCATTAAACTATTGAACCCAACAAAAATGTTGAACTCTGCATACAAATGTGTTAAAATACTTACTATTCTTAATACTGCGAGCTCTCAGTTGCAAAAAGTTTGTGTTTACTTCTTGGAAATGTTACCCCCATCGGCATTGGTAAATTCTTTGGATAACACTGTTCGACTCGTTAGTATTTTAGAACATATATTTGAATATTTAATAGGCGCCGGTTCTTTACTAGAAGTCAATTCCCTGTTGAGCACTACTAAATTCTACCTGGCAAATGAAAAAATTGAGAATATTTGGAATGTATTCGAATTTCTAAAAATATTCAGTACAGTGAACGAAGCAGAGACAAAAAGTATTGGAAAATGGAGATACTCAATGGAAACATTTAAACAACAAGATCGTGAATTTTTTGGCAAAATATTGCAAAAGTTGTATATGCCCTTGATCGCCCTAATGAAGTTTTATGTGTCCGATGGTGTCAACGAGTGGATGGCCTGTCCTCGGGAATTTGTAACTGAGCTAGTAGCATGTTTGACGTGGATATCCTACTGCTTTACAGAATTGGACGCTGAATGCTCTTGTCAATGTGGATTACAACTTAATTACTATGGATCATTAAAACTGGGATCCTTAATAAGTTTTTTATCAAAAATTTATGTAGAATATAATAGGAATTTGTCATGCGATTTTTACCAATGCGCTAAAAGGAGTGCGTTCAGTTTTATGGAATATTTGAAAATTTTAAAGGCTCACAAATGTGAAAAGTGGATCAACTTATGGAGAGAACTTGGAATACACATTTACAATATTGGCACAGCTTTGTATGCCCAAAATAATATTGTTTTTGAGGATTTTTTTGTATGCTTTTTGAAATACTCGATCAAATATGAAGGAAGAAGTCCTACAATCTTGGACACCGAAATGTGTGAGTCATCATTTAATACTCTTTGCCGAAAAAGATTTTCTAGTGGGGATTATGAAACCGCCATGGCATTTGCGGCTCTCTACTGCTTGTTGTACCATAAACAAAGAAATAACGTTTTCCAAAATTACTGGGCCAAATCAAAGGTAAGATTTAGAATAACATGTGAGTTGTTTAAATCCATATAACATTTAAGTTATATAAATATTTGTGTAAAATTTCAAAGGAAAGACTGCAGTTTTTTTATAAATTAATTTTTGTTATTTAATGAAATTTACATGGTAGTCTATTCTTCTTGTGAAACGCAATGCCAGAGTTGAATGTTAAATTATATTTTTGGATTTACTCGTTTTGAGAAAAAAATTTAAGTGTGCTATTGTTTTGGAAAAACAATTTTAAGCTCTAACGTTTTTCCCTCGAAAATTAGTTGCCCCACCTTCCAAAACCTACTTGTTCAAAGTTCAAAACTTTTACTTTTCGGAAGACTTGAGCAAAGTATCAAGTGTTTTTTTAATCTAATTTTAATTTTTCAAAAATATACAAGGTGTTCCATATAAAAATTGATCTCAAACTTATTGAAAAGCTATTGTTTTTCTTAATATAATTTTTTTTGTAGAACTCACTATAATCTTCTTTGTTTTACCAGAACACCATGTATATTGTTTTTTATTTTATATAAGAATAATGTGGTATTTAAAAAAATATACAGTTATCAGGAGTAAAATTTTGCATATTTAATTTATTCGTTTGTGGGCTATGGTTAATTTATCAAACAGTATAAACCAGAACTTGGCGAAGATGTCATTTTTTTTTGTTTTATATGTAATAAGATAATAAAGCAATGATAGGAATATGTAATTAATTGAACCATCTTCAAGAAATACAATGATCCTCTGAGTACATTTTGGTTAATTTAGGAAATCAGATGGAATGGAATGAAATGAATATACGGTTTGTAATTATTTAAAGAAAAAAAACCATAGATAATCTGCTGAAAATAAAATTATTGTAAATTAAATAGTAATAGGCATTCAGTAGTTTATTTTCAATTTAATTTCGAATTACAGTTTACAAAATTATCTGCAATATTTGCAAATCGATGTCATTTAAGTCTACCATTGAGGAAAGGAAATCTAAATGGAAAGATTTGGGAGATTTTGGGAGCCACACAAATTTTTCAAGTCTTCAAGAATTGCTTGTTTTTAATAATAATATATTTAATCTAATTTATTTTTCAAGAAAAAATTCTCGAAATATTCATCAGATAACTTATTTCTCTAAGGTGTTAATATGTGGCCACCTCCACTAAACACACACTGAACTGGAGCGGAATACATTAAAATAATATTGTATTTTTTAAACATTTTCAAAACTGTTGGATATAATTTTAACAATAAAATGTTTTTTTTTGAACGACTTTAAGTTAAAATTTCAATAACCGTGTGAATGGTTTCCATCATAAAATCGTAAACAAATGTTTGGTGAACAAGGGAATTGACTTTACTTACATTTGCTAATCCAATTCGATTCGAATTGTGACAACGAATAAGGTCGTTTCTAAAATTTCTTCTAATTAGTATTTCTTATTTTTAAATTTGCCATTCTCGATTGGCTACGTAAAATTTGCCAAACGGTTGGCAACACATATCCTAAGTAAGAATTTTTTTTTTTGTTTCAATTTATTTATTTTGATTGTATTGTTTTATGACCGGGTTTGGTACCGCCATCAAAATTTCAACATTGTGCTTCTTAGTCTCGAGCAGATTTCTCTCTGACAGTACATTTGAATTTAAATTACATTTAAAATACCAACAAATTTATTTAAATACAATCCATGTTATAAATAGTCTCAACTTAACTCTAGGAAGTAGGAATAGGAAACCTTTTTTTTTTAATGGACCATATAAACATATGTTTCAAATTAATCCCTTTTCGAGATACATGTTCTAAATTTGAAGAGATAATGATTACTATATAAAACCAACGCCTCTTTCTATCTTTGAAAGTAAACTGCAAAAATGTCCGAAGTGGAATGGGTTGTTGATTCAGAAACCAACCTTAGGAATATTTTCTTGAAATAATTGGGATTGTTTTTGAAACCTTGAACCGTTTTTGTACTTTAAAATCGTTTCAGGTCGAGTTGAAACAGCACAATGATAGATCCAACATCCAACAGTTGACTCTAGTTGCTGCTTTGGGAAAGTATCATACATCTTTGGAGTGCATCACGGATCCCAGGCTTCTCTTGACTCGCGATGCAAAAGTAGATCTGTTGTCGTTTGAAATCGAACGCTACAAAGCGATTTGGAAAAGTAGAGAGTCTATGATGGCAGCATTTAAACAGCTAACAGAGACAGCAGATTTATTGACAGTTTCGAAAGTTTTTGTTGCGGTCTATAGCGACTTTGATGTGCCATTGCATGATGAAATGGATGAGTTAATTCAAAAGTTGATCGAAAAATTTGAAGCCCATATAAAAAATAACAAAGATTTGTTTTTCAAAGTGAGTTTGGCCACTTTATATTTTTACCATTATAAGTGTTCTTCCAAAGATATTATTAAAACACATGTAAAGGAAATGGAAAGAACAATGCGCATCGAGGAAAGTTCTAACAAGCGTAGCATAGATCCAATTCCAAAAGACCCCAATGACGAATGTGACATAGTTTCAGCTTATGAGAGTTTAATGATAAATCGGCACTGTAAAATGATAGATATTTTAAATAAAGGCCTCAATATTCTGGCGCATTTGGCGCAAGAAAAAATAACAGATATGGTTATAGCAAATACTTGTCACGCCCTTTTGTTGGCGTTTGCCCTCGAATACCGTTTACATTTTTTTAGCTTAAGAAAAACTCAGGTATACGAATTGTCTCTCCGTTTTGCTGAAATTGTTGGAGATGAAATAAAACTTCTTTATTCTATCAGTTATCTCATTGAAGCGGGCGATGCGAATAAGAAATTACTGCAAGAACTTGTTTTTAAAGGGGACGCTTTGGCAAAGCGTTTGGAGCAATTTTGTGAAAAAGATCTCTCCAATAAAGTCTTAATAACTTACTACATATGTAAAGCGAAGGCCTATTTGCATACCGATGAGGCCATTTCCTATAATGCTTATATAATTGCCGAACAGTTGTACAGTGGTTATGAGGCACAAGCAGATATGGAATATCTAAAAGTTGAATTGTTCATCCTCAACTTCAAATTGTCCCAGTCCTGTAAACGCGGAAATCATGAGGACAATCCAATGACCTTCCTATTACACAGCGCCATGGACATTGTTGTTCTATGGACTCAATCTAGGCCAAGTAAGTACATTTTTAGTTTCCCTTTACATATCTTAGTAGGAACGCTTTTCTTTTTTTTATATTGTAATATAATGTTTGTAGTACAAAAAGATATTGGAAATGGAATTGAGTCAAGATGTAAGATTTCAAGCGTAACAGTTTAACTTAGGTTCTAGGTGTGCATGGTTTGTTTAATTTTCTTTTCTTGCTTAACTAGGAAAAAGGTTTTGACTTTTATATAAAATACACAGTGGTCTTGTTTAAAAACGCGTGTTTAAAAGTTCTCATTGTAACACTTCCCAGTGAGGTTTATCTAAACTGTTCTTGGCCCTGCATGATGAAAAAATGAGGCACTAGACACTCGAAACATCGAAAAAGATACCATGTTTTGCCTTACTCCGTAGGCGTAGTATTGTATCTATGATGATTGACAAGGGTCCTGAGAGTGGGAGGTAGACGGACAGATAGTTGACCTACCCATGCCATTATATTTAAAATTAGAATTCAGCTGTTTTTGGCAAATATTACAGAAAAAAAAAAAACGAAATTTCTAAAATAACTTTTTTTTTTATTCAGTAAAAAAGTGGAATGCTCAATAGGGTCCTAGTCGGGAATATTGTTGCAATACACTAGCGGTCCTTCCTGAGTACAATATTGACATACCTCCCGGTAAAAGCTTGATGTGACGTCAGTTGCCAGTAAATGTTTGTCACGAAGTTTGGACGCTAACAATTCCGATGGATTCTTTGGAAGGTGCAAATCTCTAATTAAATCTTTTAATTCGATCTGGTTAAACGCTTCTAGCTCTTTGAAATCTGATGTAAAATCTGAGTCATTTGGGTCGGAATTAGATTCCTCTGATTCTAAGGATATGACGTTTTCTAGTTCTTTTGGGGCTGTAGGTATCCGTACATCTGGTCCATCAGGAACTGGTCAAATAGCAGAGTCAAGATTGGGATACTCAATTTGTTTCTTATTTTTTTCTGCTGAATCATTGAATATTACACGCACAAAAATAACAATCATCGTTGTGATTCCCAGGCTCTCGCCATACCATAGGAACACCAAAGCTTAAACATTTCTTCCTTCCTATTTGGAAGTTTCTTAATGCTTCAACGTAAACGGAACAAACAGTATGAGGAGCCCAGAACTTATCTTGGTCGTCAATTTTTACACTAAAATAAGCGTGGTATACATTTTTTCACAAAAAAAAGTTATCGGTTGCCTTTGATTTACTACTACATAACTGCCACAAATATAACAAAAGTTATTTGTTATGTTCACACAATGTCGTCTTTCCGTATTTATACGTTCTAGAACACTATGAATACGTAACAACGAAGACGACAGCTGTGAACACAACCTGACGACCAATACAACCAAACTGCGCATAAGCAGGTTACAACGCTGTATTGACGCTTTTGCGCCACCTCTGTTGCTTTGAAGAGAAATCTAATATTATCCAGGCTTGTCAAATCACTTTGTATATTAATGTAATTAATGTATATTAATAAAATAACGTTTTTAAGAGCGCTATAAAAAATGACAGACAAAGCAAAAATATGGAGTTTTTTGGAAAAAGGGCTCCCAAAAATATGCAAATAAGCAAACAGCTTTCAAACATCAAAATCACTGTAGACCAGTGTTATTATTCTTAGTGTATTTAAAGCTCTTGGAGACGAAAGCTCAACATTCGGGATATGAAAAAATAGTTCAAACGTGTTCGTCTGTGATTGAAGTTGGACGGTCAACAATATGCACGGTCTTCATTTTACCCCTTTATCTATTTGTTGATCTCAGAATAATTAATATAACTGCCCATCTATATAATTATAATCATGTTTAGCTATTATTATGATAAACTCGCTGTAGTAGCGCCGCTGTCACATCACTTCATCAAAAATTCGAGAATTTGTCCACCCTGTTTAATGATCCCTGTCATTGCAAATTTACATTTTATTACCCTCTCGCACTAAGATATAGTAATAGGGATTCTTGTCTTTCTGTTGCACTTTTATACAGGGTGTTCCGAAATTAATTCACCAAAAATAGGCCCAATATCCGGAAAGGGTTTTTAAGAAATAAAATGATGCGCCACTGATTTTTTGCTGCAATAATTTGTAAAAAATTTGATCTTTAAACTTTTTTCGGTGCAGCGTTTTCAAGTAAAAAAATAAAATCGTGATCGAATCATGGCGAAATCGTCAAAATTATGGAAAAATGTTAAGTATTAAAAACTTAATGTTTCAAACCTGATCTTTTGCTGCTTAAAAGCAGAATGTCAATGAAATAGCTAGAGTGGTTCGAAAGTTATGATGAAAAAACCGTTTTAGTTCATGATCAAACAATATTTAAATTAAGATAATAAATTTTTTATATTATAATTTATTTAAAAAACTAGAAAAAAGGCGTTTTAAAAAATATGTTGGCCAGAAAAAATATATATATATATATATGTATTTTTTTCTGTATTATTTCAGAAAAGAGTAAACAAACATGAATGTTTACATTTATCCAATATTTTTGATTTTTTGGGAAAGTAAAAGAAATCTTTCGTGATAAATCAATAAATAAGAAACACCGAAGTTCTATTTTATTTTTTATTAACCCCAATGTCGAGTTTGATACCCCCAGGTGCCCCAAATACTAATTCGCTTAGACAGTTAATTATTTCTCTTTCACTTCGATTGGTGTATTATGTTCGATCCTTTTTTGTGTGGTTAGTTTGTGAAATGCTTGAGATGTGATTCACTATTTTTTGAATTGTTTTAAGTGTGTACCGACGAGGTTTTGGGAAATTTTGGTTATGGCCTATGCCTTTTCCTTGACGGGATCTTTGTAGAAAATAAGCCACTAGAAAATGACAAGCTGCGTCGGCGATGAGTAAAGGATTATTTGGTTTAAAATCTAGACTAGAGTCTAGACTATATTACTATGGTTAAACACTTATTGATTATTCTTTTCTGAGTCGACTAGTCGAATCTAGAAAACTCCACCCTCAAACAATCTTAAACTGGGTTTCGTTTACTAAAAGCTACTCGCAAGTCTCAGTGTGCATATTTTGTTTTAAAATTTCCAAATTTTTCAGGGTTCAGTTATTAAAAAAAAAACTACAAATTAATCAAATTAATTTTTGTTGCAATAAACTGCTTTTAAGATTCGATTGATGATGAATTTATATTTATTTTATTGTTTCAGTGCAGTCCCATGAACTGTGTGTGCTTTTCGATACCATATTAGAACTAACGAAAGTGTACTACCTAATGAAACTGCCGCGAGAACTTAGATTATACAGCAAAAACTCCGCACTCCTAACGCAGAAGATGCTTTTGCCGCTAAGATGCGCATCCTTCCTGTTGTTTCTCGCACATTCAGATTTACTTACGTCCAAGTTCGATCATTGCAATGTAAAACTGAACGGTGTTAATGTTATATTTAACCTGGAAAAGTCTAAAAGTAGTTACCATATTGACACTTCTTGTGATAAACAAAATTCGGATAGTCAGGAATTAGAGATCGACAACGTAACTAATCAGATTCAGGAACTAGCCCTAGACTTGCCCCAACATTACAAACAGTTCTCACCATCATCGCCCAATTTGAGGGTCGAAGGTTTCAGTTTGCCAACTTTTATGAAACACAAAGACGAGTGCTGCTGTTTCCAGTGTATGTGTTTCGAATATCACTTGTTATTGTTGGAAAAGCATCATTTGCATGCCTTGCTAAACCTTTCCCAGAATCAAATAGAATTGGGTGAAGAGTTTTTGTACGGAGGACAAAAAATGTATTTGAGATTGAAAGATAAATACAAGCACTACAAGTTAAAAGCGAAAACGTACGTTTCTGTAGACTTAATTTTTGATTTTGATGATTATTTTATGGAGTGTTATGGCAATATTTTATATACCATCAGTTCCCGGGCAATAAACGAGGGGCATAGAGCTAAAGCTTTGGATGTCAATGGCCAGTTACTTAAACTGTTGCAGCCCAAGAAATTGAAATATGTACATTTATATTTTGACGCCTTAATACAACGCCAAAGTTTCTTATTACCTCTTGCTCCTCAGTTTATAAGGAAAGTTGGGTACGAAACAGCGGATTCTGTTACCGATAAAACACCTGTTACACCTCAAACTAAGCAGTCTACTGTAACCGTTAGCGTAAGCGATTATGAGGCATTTTCTCCTCCCAAACGAAGGATAAAGAAGGTCATTTTGTTCGAATCAACCTCGCCTGATGAGAGTGGTGACGGTGCGATATCTAAAGCCAAATCCGGGAAGTCGGTACAAAGGACACCTGCCCAAACGTCGAAATTACAAGTATATACAGAACCCAAGACTTATAGTACGCGGTTAAGGAAAAAGTTGGCCGAAAAAGATGACCATTTAGATAAGCTGTGTACTACCGACAACGGTGTAGAAAATTATCAGTCCAGAAAGCCTCACATTTTAGCTGGAGCGTGTGCTTCGACTTCGAAAAAAAAAACTCAAAAATCTAAGACAAAAGTAAACGCGGCTACAAGTTCCGAAGTTGTACGGAAAAACTTAATGGAAGAATGGGCCGGAGTTAAAGTGTCCAATGGTGAAAATACAAATTCTTCTAAAAATGATAGCCAAGGTTCCAGCGTGATTGCCGCTAGTCCAGGAAATAGTCCATGTAAAGGCTTAACCGCTTTAAACTCAAAGTCTAAGGATTTAACAACAAAACTTAAGAGGTCAATGAAGAAGAAAGTCGCTAGCAGTAATTATGACGTATCGGAAGACGTAGAAAAATTATTCACAGATGTGTCCGCCGATAAGCCGAGCAGTATGAAAACACACGCGGCTGTAAGAACATCCGCGAGAAAACGACTTTTGTAGATAATAAAAATAAATTTGTTTTGTAAAAAAATATTTTTTATACATTTGCAATAAATTAAGAGATGTTTTTTGTTTTTTTTTTTAGTGTTTGTCTCGTTAATCTCCGGCTTGGAAGGTTAACTAGTTAAAGTTGGGAGTGGCCACGACAGAAGTTGCGACAAACATTCTGTGCTTCTATGCCTAAATTAGCAAATATTAGGCAAGCAAACATACTCTAGAATCAAAATGACATTGTAAAGGCCCATTAAAATTTAAAATTTATACATTATGTCTGCAACTAACATTTTTAGTTTTATAATTGTAAATGTTACGGTACGTTTCGATTACCCATTTTATAAACTATTAGAGTAGTTAAATGAGGAATCTTTAATGCTGGCCAAATGTCCTATACAAAACTTTTACTCTCTATTTATTTGTCGTTCCCTTTATAAAGCATAAATAAATTTTATAATGCCAAAGCAAAGCCAATACACAAAACCTATTTATTTTTTTTATAAACATCAAATAAAAAACAGCCCCTTTTCTCTTCATTTTTTTTCTATATATATCGATATATTTTGTTTTGTGTCCTTCCCATTGTAATTTGATTTAACTCTAAAGTTGACATTAATCGATTGTTACGTTGACATTATTAATATAAAAGGTCTTATTAAATATAAAACTGAAAATTTTCTATGAAGACTTTTTTTTTGCAATTATAAGGAATTTCAGGAATATTAATTATAATGCCGACATTCTTCCTTTCTTAAAAGTTTATAATTTTATTTTAGCAAGTAGCTAAGTAGTATTGTTAGTGTGCATATTATTAGTAAGTAATATTAAACAACCTTGGAAAATTTACCTAGGGGTCTTACATCCATTACTCTTGCAATAAAGACTTACACTTTTATATGTTACCAAAAATGTATTCATAAAAACCTACTACGTAAGCTTTTATAAAACTCAAAGTAACAGGAAAACCAATTGAAACCTATTAGTGATGTAAGTAAGTAAAAAAAAAATATTTATAAAAAGACGTCACACAGGATATAAAATTCAGATACGGCAAAACTTAAGTATATGATATTTTACAGTCAAACATTAAAATATTAAACAAATTCATTGAAAAATCAGGTATTAGATTTCAAGAAAAAGAAAAATGTAAAATGTTTTTTTGCTCGACAAGTACGTGAATGTTTAATTCCAGCCAGTAGATGGTTAGAAAGGGATCAATAGAATGGCCTGCAAGATCTCCAGATATTACTCCACTGGATTCTGTGCTCTGGGGATATTTGAAATCAAAAGTGTATATGAAAAATCCACAAAATGTAAAATTAGATACGAAATAAGATAAATTAATGAAAATATCCTGAGTAATGTTTTGGAAAGATTTTTAAATCGATTATAATTTTGTCAAGTAATGGTGGGCATTTTGAACACGAAATAAAATAATTTCTTTAACAATTTTTCAAAGAAACTTTCACAGGCTACTGCAATACTGTTTACAAAACTTCCGGATTTTTAATGCGTTCGTTGTTCAATCGAACTTGCTGACAGTTCGCAAATCATCCTGTTGACTTCTTCAAAGCTTAACTGATGCAACTTCGATTCAACACCAGCCGATGCAGGAGGAATCCAGAAGTCTTGCAAATAGTAATTTCTTAAACATGTTTTTTTATTCATTTATTCATAAAAAGTAAAAGATCCTGTATGCGCGATAATATTAGATTTTAAAAATATAACAATCCAAATAACTTTTGTCTTTCAATTTTTTTGATACCTTTTACAGGTTCTGAGATAAGATAATAAACGGGTCACCCTCTAACTGAGCATGGACAATATCCGTTTACATTCCTATGTACATACCTGCGAATACAATAAAACAATTACTGCCTACGTATCAACAAGATTTTCGCTTCGGTCTTAACGCGACCTAAATTATCCTTCCGTGGTCTGATGACCTTCGAAAAACTGCCGTAAGATAAAGGCATTCGGGCAGGTACCACCGGGTACTTTGACTCTTCTTCACGTAATGTCATATTACGAATTAGTTGATAGCAACCAGCAGCAGCACCGTTGTACGGTACCGTTACAGTTGTTTTATTTGCGCCTTCGCATGGTAAGACGTCGATCGCCTTTAAGCACGCACACATAGTAAAGTAAAGGTGATACTGAAAACAACATGTTTTGAGTGTTACGTGGTGAAGTTTAGGCAGTTTGAGGGACGACACGTTATCTATTATTATATTCTAAGGGTAAGTCCAAGAGTATAAAACAGTTTGCATTTATGTTTACAGTTATCTTGAATGGCAAGACTTGCTAGCGATTAATTCAGTGTGTTTTCATTTTATCACAACATTTAATTAGTTTTCGAAATTTTATTAACATTTTCAAAGGACTTGAAAATATAGAACACTTCTTATGAATCATATGAAAAGTAAAAAAATAATTTAGCAACATTTGCTTTTGCTGATTGTTATTTGGGAAAAAATTAATTTTCTTTTTTTTTAAATGAAATAGGTGTTCAACGGTCAAAGTTTATTATGATTACGGGATAAGTTATTTGGTTACAACTAAGAATCTATTCCTCTATGCACATATCTCCTAACTTTAAAAATGGTTTTTGAATTACTCAAGCATTTTGACCGAATTTGATAAAACTTGGCAGTGACGTAATATTTCAAGAAAAATCTTTGGACGCCATTGCTTTTTCAATGTTCACAATTTTTTTTAAAGATTGAGCATGTGAAAATACAATTGCTTTGTCCTTTGGGTGTTTGTTAGTTTTTGGGGTGAAAATTAAAAACCTTATTTTAATAACACTTAAAGAAGCCCCTTGTAATCACAGCTAAGCGCGCCAAACTTTATCAAAATCGACCAAAATGCTTTTCAGTAGTTAATAATTTTATAGAAATTTGACTTCTTACATCTTAAAACTCTAATTGTTAAACAGCTAATAGGAGACGGTTAATACAATTTGTTGATTTTTTCTTTTAAAATCGCATTTTTGATTCATTTACTTGTGGATCATTTTTTTGTCTGCAATTATTACTTCGGACCCGTTCTCTTAGGAAATTAAACATGTGACATAACAGGTTGTTTTTGAGTGATGTATGAATACTGAAGCTGGTAATTTCTGTTCTCATTTTAAGAAAAAAAACGACATGTGAATGTATCTTCAAAGTCTTAAATTTGGAGAATATTATCTAAGAAACGATTCCAGATATTGTGAAATTTGAGGCGCGTCACTAAATTTATTTCAGATGAGAATTTTTTTTGGATAGTCTAATCATTTCTGCATAAAAGCCATTTCTTGCGTTTTTAATTAATTTAACTAAAAGTAAAAATTGAACAAATGAAATATTTTGCTGTACGGGTTGATATTTTTTAAAGAGGTCAGGTCACTTTTTCATGACTTAAAATAAATTGGTGATTCTTATTTCGTTCTTATTGTTTCGTTGAGTTAATTTACTTTTTTTTTTCATTTTTTTTTCAAAATCGTGAATTAAAAGCTGGGCGTATTTATCTCAAAGATTTCCTTCAACTGAAAAAATGTCGTTGCCATAGTATTTTAGAATAAAGGATCCTGTTGTAACTCTTCTAGTGTCAGAATGAAGAATGAAATAACTACATTCGGCAAATATGTCAAAAGTTTTTCAAATAAATTTCCACAGGCTACTGTAATACTATTTACAAATCTTCTAGATTCCTCCTGCATATTAACTATAATATTAAAGTCATATTTACCACTTGTTCAAAAATCTCTCAACATATTCTACCCGATAAATACACGACAGAGACAGCAAGAAAATTATCAACTATGCTAATAATCATAATACCGGGCATCAAATCTTATTACACTAAACTAAAATTCTTGCATGTAATCACAATTCTACCAAAGAAAAATCTTTTACTTTCTTTGCTTTACCAATATGGAATTCAGTCATGTCCCTCATTTAGCTGCGCCCCTGATAAGTGAGTGCAGAGTAGAATGCGAGTTAGTTTCAATTAAGCTCTGAAGAAGTCAACAAGTTGATTGGAGAAACGTCAAACAGTTCGAGGCATCCAGAATATTTATGAATAATATGGCAAAAATCTTTATTTGAGAATTTAAGCTTATAGTTTTTCACATTTTTTTGTATGGAGGTGTGAACTCGCAAATTTTAAATCGCCTATATAATGCAGAACAATATGCGCTACATTAGTTCTTGTGAAAGAATAATTAGTTTCACGAACACCGCAAAAGACCCAAATTGTAAAACATTAAAGAAAAATTGTTTGAAATTCGATAATAAAATATCAAAGACGAGAATGCGTTTTCGAGAAACTGGAAACCTCGCACGATTGAAAATTTTTCCTGTAAAAGTTTTAATGTAGGGCACTCCGCTAATAAGAAAGATTATTTTGAGAAGAGAAAAAATTAAAATTGAATTTGTATGTGTTTTCCCCATAGTTAGGATAATTTGACGCATAAATTTATGAATCGTACTCCTTAATGTATCTAATTATTAGTTGAAATCAAAAATGATTAATACATTCAACTTCATTCCTCTATTGGCAAGTCAATATTTTTCAATAGGTAATATTACTTTAAAAAAATTTTTCGGCCTATCAGTAAAAAGCACATTACACTTGCCAGATAAGATAAGAAACGGTGAAAATTTTCACGAAACACGACGAGCTCAAACTACGGAAAATAAAAATGTGCTTGGCGAAATTTTTTTGGTCTTATGGCGTCCTCGCTGAATTGTTGAAAATTTGCGTTAGTTTTGGTTCAAATGACACAATAGATTTTTTGTTAAACATAACCACGTTTATTATGTTAAATTCCGTATCTTATCTAGGTTTAAGGCAGCAAAACTAACCGAACGGTTATTTAAACACGTTTGACGCAAGGTTCAATTGGTTTCTAATTTGAAATGAGTGTATGTACGGCTGATCCCGTAACAACACCTTTAACAATAAATTTATGAGTTAATAAATATTTTTATCGGTGTTTTCGGTATTTGCCAATTGCTGGTACCTATACGCCAATCTGGTTGCCACATTGATATACTTGTTGATTGAACGATTTGTGATTTTCGAACTAACTAAAACTGTAAGTAAATAATTTATTACTGAGGAAACAAATTTTTTGCTGGAGTTGCTAGGGGATTTTCAAATAATCATGTTTTGAATATTATTTTATGCTGAAACTGCTTGGGTAACAATTTTGTTGTGAACTCAATAATAGTGAATTTTTAATGGACCGGGTTCACTTTTGTGTAGAGATTGATTTCCATGCGGGGCGACATACAAAAGAGAGATGCCCTACGGCATACATGACAATAATTATGATAACTATACAGTGTGTTCGACCGCTTACTTCATCGATGTGGTATGAGAAAATTATAAATAGCAAAAATTTGAAAATTCGGAGTTAAACTAACGTGGGTGGTTAAAATATTTTCCAGATGGCGGCACAATCGAATTTACCAGAAGTACGTATAGATATTATTCTAGACAAATTTGGTTGTAATATCCCATACCTAAATTTTACTGTTTCTGAGATATTTACGACTTTATGTCAAAAATGTACGTTTGCACATCGCATAATATCTGTAAATTTTAGTAGTAACTTACCCTATAGAAAATGGTCTGTTGAACAGATTTAGTTAGTAATTTGTATTATTAATAATACAAGATGTTGAAAAAGAATTACAATTAAAACAAAATTGAAAAAACTGCCAGAAATCTTATTAAAAAAAAAAAACAAAAGAGTTGTGGTCAGTTGCCACATAAAAAATATTATGGTATGGCAATTGATTCAAAATTTTTAAATTTTTGCTACTTATACATTTTCCGTAACAGATCGTCCCAGTTTCCGATGGGACACCCTGTATAGTGATTATACAATGTGTCCCAAATTCGTTTCTCTATGCAGGGATTTCCGCTCCTGTTACATCTACAACATAGGTTCAATGGAGAAAGTTTTAGAGGAAAATCATTGTATTTGATAATCTGCTTCAGATTTGAAATTGGTCATTTGGTTGGTTAATTAGGTGATGTGTTAAAAAGATAGCACTAGCTGTATCATCGATCGTTCAGTTTAAATAAAACCTTAATGTACAAGTTTAAAATTTCAACAACTTCATTGAGCGTAATTTATGAATAGTGTTCGACGAACTGTAATCCTCTAGGAAACTAGTTTGAATAGCGTAGATCAAATTTTGTCGTAAAACACTTAACGCATTTTTGACCACACCTATTAATGAATGCATAAATAGTTATTCATTTGTACGAACAAATATACGTATGTACAATATATATTGTAACACTTTTAACATAATTTTACAAAGATCACAGTTTTGACGCTGCAAAGGGATTAATTAACCGTCTGAACGGGAGAACCAGAAATTTGAGATGCACATATTATTAAATTTTGTTTGAACATTTCAAGGGTTTAAGACATTATAATATTGATATTGGAAAATTTGAATTAGGAAACCGTCTGAAGCAAATACATTCAATATGAACAATTTTGTGGTAGAGACACTATTTATAGTCCATAGATAAGCACCTACCTTCCATAAACTTATGAGTAACCCAGTCATATCAGTCATCAAAACAATTTGAATCTTAGGTTTGTGTCCAGATGGGCCCCAAATTCATAACCTCCCTGGCTTCAGTTAATTTTGCGGGTTTTCTCTAAAATATTTTCAAACTCTTGCATTTTTAGTTGATGTTTTGTAACAAATATATGCATCAGTCATTCTCATAAAATTTACCCGAGCAAAACTCTAAGCCATCTGGTAAAGATGATGAGTACATACCTACAAATATTGGAAGGTAGTCACCAGTCTGCCTGTATTGTGTATCTTTCTCCCTTGATTTCCTAAATCTTTTCGTTTTTTATTCTTTCCATTATTGACCTTTCCTCGGCACGTCTTCGAAAATGCATTTCTGTTGCTTCTAGCGAGTTTTCTGCCCTCTGGTTGATCTGCCATTCCTTCCGTATGTAATTATGCTTTTGATTATATTATTATTGGTTCTATGTTTTCTCGCTTTCAATATATTTCGGTCAAAGAGTACGTTGTTTAATGTGCTTATGGCTTTACGTCCTTATGCAATTTTAGAATAAGTTCTGTAAACAGTTTATTTTTAGATTTACAGATATTCCTAAATTCCGCACAGTTAAACATAATGGAAGCAGTAGCTGTTTGCACGACACCACTATGTCGATCTTGACATAGAAAATATTTTCTTTAAGAAGGGTGCTAAAGTAGTTGTGCCATTTTTTCCAGAGTTATTGGGGATAACTGTCTCTTTTTTTTGTTTTGTCTTAATGCCTTAAGAAACTTCCAACCTTCCGAAGTTCTGGAGCTTCCCAAATAAGTATTTATTCTGCAGCAGTTTTTTTCCATGCCATTCTTCTGCCTTTTGCCTGGGTGCTGTTGCAAAGTATTTTACCTGCATTTGTTTGGGAGCTGATATATCTGTGATGGGATTTTTTCTTCTCTTAAGTTTATGTTTCGATCTCATGGTTCGACCATTCCGGCTTTCGTCTTTTTCCTGGGTCATAGATTCCCAATACCCCACTTGTTGCTGCATTCCGTGATATATCTGTGTTTTGTTAATTTTTCAATTAGCGTTGGTAAAGCCTCCTAGTACTTTCGTGGTTCAGGCTTGAAAGATACTTTGATCATGTCACAAATATTGGTGTTTGGTGTCCATGTGTATTTATAAATTAATAGATGTTGACAGAGGCCATTTTCCATTGTCGTTTGTTATATTCTCTCCTTATTGTCCCATTAAGCAGTCGTTCTTTTTTTTTTGGCGGCAGTTTGAGTTGCTACTTTCACAAGATCTGCCGAAGTCGTTCTTCTCCGCCTTCACTGCCGCTGTGGGCTTCGTCTGCATCCTAAACAATAGTGTTATAGTGTTTTATTATTTGGATCAGTTAAACCCTGCCTTTTACGAGATTGTTACTCCTCTCCCTCCCTCCTTTCAACCTGACTTGGGACAGGCTTGGGCTAGTTAATTTAGAAATATACACCGCCCAAAATTGTCGTATCACCTTAATTTTGAAACAATTAAAAGTTGAGAAGGAATAAAAAGAAGTGATATTGTTAACTTGTTTATGTCCATGTTTCAAATTAACATATCAGAGCAAGAAGTCTTTACAATTTAAGCAGATTTAAAAAATGTAAAGATGTGGGAGATTTAAATTCATTTAACTGCTGAAGAGGCCGTTAGAGCGGTTGTTCTTGTTGAGGAAGCTCAACTATAGGAGTAAACCAGGGCAAGTTTATCTCTGATCGGTACGTAAGAGAGATTGTTGTCCTTCACGAAGTCCGTTTTGGGCTTTGTAGCGGCCACAATTTAATTTTTATGCACAGCACGCAGCAACAAGCCTGGACCTAAATCCGATTGAGCATGTCTATGACTTTATGGGATGGCATGGGATTCAATAATATTGAAGGCCATTGAGAACCATAGACCAACTTCAAAATATACTTTTTCGAATATACTTACCAATTGATTTGATTTAGCTTCTAAGGAATAATTTAAACTAATCCACTAAGTATCTTTTTTTGTGACATTTTGTGCTTTTCTTTTTTATTGTACAGCGGAGTTTGTCTCTAGGAAAGACTTGTTTATAAATAAATGCCGCAGGAGTATATTCAACATTTTTTTGAGGAACTCTCGAGGCACATGGAGCCAGTAATAAGGGTTCATTGATAAAATAAACGATATTAAATAGTTTAATTTAACTTAATTTCTAGGTTTTTGCTTTTCATTTCATGGCATTTTTGCAGAATTAAAGTTTTGTTTCAGTCTGGTATGTGTGCTTTATTTTTTTGCAACTTGCTTATTACAGTTCAAACTGTTAACACAACACATAAATTGTTACATTATAAAAAATATAGCTTGCTTGCAAAAATAGTTTTTTCTAATTTCAAGTGATCTTTAATTTAAAATTTTTATGCCTGTTTTAAAAATTTATGGAATTCAATTAATTCAAATTTATTAATTTAACTTTTTAGAAAGAGGTTCTATCGTATTTTACTTTTTTATTTTAGTAGTTTTGCAATGCAATTCAAAATATTCCCATATAACTTAAAAATGATTTTTTTTTAAATCGGTAAAATCGGCTAAATCATTGAGAAATCCAGGGAAACTTGTAAAATTAGTAATATACCAAATTGAAAATAATTTTGACCTAGGAATTTTTATCTGTAATTTTTTTCTTATTCTTTTTTTCAATTTAAAGTTTTTTTTTGTACTTTGCAGAAACCAAGTTCAATAAGATGGCCAGCAAACTACTACTTCTTCTAGTCATATTAAATGTCGTCAGGTATTCACTCCAGGATGTAAATAATAACGAAGTGGACTCGGAAATTGAAAGTCCGCTAAAAGAGGCGAGTGCGTCAATATTGAAAGAACAGACCATGGAAAATATCGGGGGTATGGTAAACAATTTTCTACAGTCTGGTGGTGCTAAGCAACTCGTCGATGGCGTGTTGGAGAAAGTTGCTACGTCCGGCAACGCTGGGAAAATTCTGGAAGGCCTGGGGAATTTTTTAAATAAGGGCGATAATATGGGAAAATCCTCTAAAGGTGTGTATAGTATGCATCGAATGTGGTATTCGGTTTATTTATGCACGATATGCATGTGTAAAGGCAATTTAGATATCGCGGTCCAAGGTTTTCAATGCTAACGACGCAAATGATAGGCTTTTATTATTTTTTTTTACAATTATATTTACGTCCACATGTTTATCCGGACTATGTCCTATTAATTTTGGCACAAAATTTATTCGTAGGGTGACATATGTCCAGGTTTTGACACTATTTTAGGTTATTTTGATTATTCAATTTTTCACGAAATAGAGCACGAACAAATAAACGCTTCATAATACTCGCAGATTTTGCAACACAGGCGAATACCTATTTATTAATTATAAAATATATTTCTGCACCCCTTGAAAATGTCGTAAACAAAGTAATTACTGTAAGTATAGCTCTTGGATAACTGATTATAGATCTATTACAAAAAGTAATTTAAGGAATCCGAGTTCTATGTACATACATTATAATTATTAAAAACTTATTAAGAATTTCAAAACTATGGCAGTTAGGAAAAAAATTTCAAGATTTCAAAATTCTGATTCTAGAAAGGAGTTTGGAGAAGAGAATATTATAAGAAGCAAACAAAAAACTCTCCCTAATTGTCTTAATAATGCAGATGCTTATAATATTTATTTAATAATCTCCACGGCCTCTAATATCTTGCCCAACTGAGAACTTCTTAATTTTTATAAAAATTATGTTATTCAAGGAATCGATGAACAATTTAATTTCACTTTAACTGACGAAATTTGTAACAGAAACCGGCAGTATTATCACTTTAATGAAACTTTGTTGTAAGGTAACTACTGTAAGTACAGCCTCTGGATAACTGATAATATAAAACTATTATAAAAACTAAGAAACAGCATTAAAAAAAACAATCCAAGCTCGCTGTACACTATAATTACTATAAACTTAGTAGCAACTACACAACAATGGCAGCTAGGAAAGAAAAAAAATCAAACATAATTTAAAAATTCCAATTCTAAAGAGAAATGGTGGAACTAAAAAAACCTAATCTTATAAAAAGCATACAAAAAACTCTCCCTAATTGTCTTCATAAAGCGGATACAATTAGCATTTTTTGTTTCTAGCCTTGCCCAACTCAGAACTTCTTAACGCTTCAATTTGAAGCGCTCAATATTAAGGCTAAGGCAAAAGGAACCGACAGTATTAATATTACTTTATTGCAACCCACATTTGTACAGTATATTGTCGACATAATTAAGGAATGTATTTTGTACTGTGGAAACAAGCACAAGTCATATTCCTGGCTAAAATAAAAGGATCTACAGAGTTAGATCATTTGCGTTGTGTATTCTGCTGGCACTCTCTAAAATTCTAACGTAAATAATGGACAAGCAAATAAATCGAGTTTTAGATCTGGTTATAGTTGTGAAAGCGCTCTTGCATGGTTGCATGGATTCAGTGAAGTGTCTTGCAAATTCATATTTATTTAAATCACAGAATATTAAAAGTCATACTCAACGAATCAACCCCTAACAATTGTTAACAAGGGTAGTATTTTAGGTCCACTTCTGTTTGAAATTTTTACATCCAGGTTTAAAACATCATTACAGTTTTGTGATTATCATTCTTATGCCGATGACACTCTACTGCACTTTTCTATATATTATTCAATTCTCATAATAAATCCACAGTGCTGATATTTGGAAATGACAATCAAATTGATAAAATTAACAGTAAAGTAAAATTCTCTATTAAGATCTCGGTTTTGCCTTTTTTATGATTTATGATTTACCCTGGATTCTGGGCTAAAATTTAGAGAGCACGTTACAAGCAAATTAAAGACTCTTTCTTAAGTAGTGACATAGTGTAGTGATACATTTTGTTCAGAAGTTGATTTCATGCTTGCCTGTCTTGCGCAATCCTTTCGGCATCATGAAGTCTTATATTTATTAACGGTTTTGTTTGGTCTACCCATCTAGTTGGGCGCTTTGCGTTTGCCTTCTACGTCCTCTTCTATAATTAGTTGTTCTTTTGTTTCTGATCTTCTAGCTATATGCCCCAGGTATTGTAGATACATTCGTTTTTTTCTGGTTAGGAGCCTTGTACGTGGACCAATTTCTTTTTGTTACACGGTTGGTTCGATGCTATGTCCACGATACTCATAAAAGTCGCCTATAAATGCAGATTTCGGGTTTTATCTGTTTTGTTTTAAGTCCCTGAGATATATGAGAGATTCGAGCATCAACTAGACGAACTTTGATTGTTTTGGTGATAGATTGCATACAGTAATTTTAAATTAATTTATGGAAGGATGACAGGATACTAAAAGGCTTTTTTGCTATGCTCTTGTACTATCACAATTTAATCGTTCCAACAAAGCAAGCAAAGACATCCTCCACATATTTATACCACCATAAAAAACTTTTACTTAAAGGATGTTCTAGTTCTAGGAAAGGACAGACAATTGAATTCTTTTTTAAATTACATTAACTCAATACATAATCGTATAAAATTCACTATCGAGATTGAACAGGATAACTCTATTAATTTTTTAGACTTAACTATTACGAAAGTGCAAAACAAATTAGATTTTTCAATATATCATAAACCTTCACACACGGACACAGTCATACATAACAGCTCAAATCACCCTTATACACACAAAATGGCTGAATTTAACTCTTTTATACACAGACTTCTTAATACGCCACTCTCAACAGAAAATTACAACAAAGAACTTAATATCATTAAAAAAAATGGTACTGAACAACGGCTATAAACCGTCCATCATAGATAAAATTATAAATAAAAAACAAATACAGACAACAGTAAACTCTATTTATCCGAAACCAAATACAGAACACGAACAATTTAAAACAATTACATACATAGGAGAACCTAGCGAAAAAGTTTCAAAACATTTGTCAAAATGTGGTTTAAAAATAGCTTTCAGAACTAACAACACAAAGGAAAATATTTAAAAAACAATAAATCGAAATGTCCAAAATCCTAAAAATCAGGTGTCTACAGGTTGAAATGTGGATCTTGTCCTAAAATTTATATTGGACAAACAGGTAGATCCTTCAAGAAACTCATTAACGAACATATAAGAGCGTTTAAAAACAATAGTCTAGATTCTAATTATGCTTCACACTTAAACACAGAAAAACACATTTTTGACGACAATTTTGATATATTACACACAGCCACAAAAAGTAGAAAATTAAATTTATTGGAAGCCATGGAGATTAACAAAATGAGACATTCAAATGCATTGATTAACGATCAATTAGATTTAGATACCTCTCCTTTGTTGAACTTAAATTCTGGCAACAACATTAATTTAGGTTTTATGGTCATTTTTCGGTATATATAGTAGCAGGTAGTTTGTAAATATTACATTTGGTAACGACACGGTGTTGTCGAAACAATTGTCATGTCATAATATATAATTTCGTGAAAATCTGAACTTTTAGTTCTTCTTTACTTAGATACTTCCTTGTCCTTAATTTGTATTCTCCTTTGTACCTGCTTCGAGAAGGGCCAGAATGAATTGATGTCCGGTTTGATGATTGTTGTTCGGCGACTGGTAATTAGCTTATTTATTAGTCTTACGGTTTTTTCATTTTCTTTTGACGAATACGAATCCAGAAGATTTCTAAATACTGTGGGAGTTTAAAATTTCAAGATTCTTTGTCCATCGTCTTTGACTCATCCGTGGCTTCTATTTTTGTTTTTTGTCTGATTCCACTCTTGATATTCTACACAAGCGTCAACTGCTTATGCTTTACAATTATCTTTATTGTTTATTGGCCAGCACTCTCCCTATAGGTTCGACAATTGCTTTATAGATTCGTGTTTTTATTCGTAGTGTAACTCTCGGTGACCATAGAATACATAAAATGCTTTGGTATACATAATCTTGCACGTATCAATATATTTTGTGTAACCCTATCTGTATTTCATTTCTCCAATATTATTTTTCCCAAGTATTTGTATTTATAATAACCTCTTATTGTTTACTGTGGTAGTTATTTATTAGTTCTTCCTCTAGTTTTCTATACATATGCAATAATTACTTGACCATATGCAAATGATATGCAAATATATTCTTACATTTCCCCATCTAATTGTGTAAAACCTTCTGAATATAAGGTGAGCGAGACACAACCATTTTGTTTCCAACCATTACTGATTTCTAAGGCTCGGATATGTTTGTTGCTATTTTAATGGCACTGCCTTTGCAGGTAAGTTTAAATGAGCAAGGAATTGTAGTTTTGTAAGCTCTACTCAAAACTCTTTTTAATTTTTCAAGATTGGATAGCTCTCAATAGATATTTCAAAAAAACTGTCACAAAAAATGATTGAAAAATTAGGAAATTTTATTTTGAATAAATAGATAATTTTATTACCGTTCTCACGATACAGCAGATGGTAGGATTATTTTGAAAAATAAAGTTTTAATTAGCGTTTTTGATGTTTTATCCAATTCATGTTATAGCTTAACATTGTTCATCTAGTATCTAATCTAATCACTCCGTATATTTATTAATTATATTAGAACTATTAATTTACTTATTAAAAGCCCCTATAATTTAAACTTATTATTAACAAATGAATAATCAGAATTAAACAAAACTTTTCACTTTCTCTCTTTTTTTAGCCTGTATCCTTAAAATTATTGCTTAGTAAATAAGTTTATATGAATCCTTTTTCATAAGAAATCGTTTTTTACCAACTGTAGAAGGTTTGTATCATTTATAATATCTGATCATCTATTATTGCAATTCCCTCTATAATTTTGCTTGCATTATTTAAATTTTGACAAAATTATATTCCAAACCCTTTAAAAACCGTATGTCTACTGATATGAGTACCTACACTTAATAAAAGAAACAGAACTTTGACTTTTATTCAGTATTTTAGCACTTTTATCTCAAATTGTACTGTGTGTCTCATTTTTGATAGTTTTACGGCTAATTACTTTCTCATAAAATGAAAGGTGGCACAAACATAAA